TGGGTGTAAGCGGGTGGGTGGGTGTGAGCGGGCGTGGGTGGGTGAGTGGGTGTGGGTGTGATTGTATCTTAGTTATCTCATCTACTCCTAAATCTACGTCCACACCCCTCACATCCTTGAGGGTGAGACGGGAAAGAAAAGTCCTTGTCCCGCCGATCGCTAGTGTCAGCTTCTATTATACTTATCCTCTCATTCTCATCTATACTATTGCAAAAGTAGAATAATGTATGAAGGCACATATTTTGCTGCACTATTTGGTATTGATGATTCATTAATGTATTAAATTTACAATCAACAATGATCAGTTCAAATGTTTCTTCACTTTTTACATCAAACATATCAACATGAGAAAGAATTTACCAGAGATACTAATTGAGAAACTTGAATATGTTATGAAAAGTGAGATAATTTCAATGGCAATCTTATCTGATTGCAATTGGTATAACTGAAAACTGAATGGAGCTATCTGATACAATGACCTTGCGATCGAATCAATTGATCTACAATACATTTCAGGATTAAATATATTTTTATTGAGATAAATGAGTGCAACTGGATTAAAATAAATGAATAAAAATTTCGATTTACATTCTGTATCGAGATTAGTAATTAAAACTCTGGTTTAAAAATGTAAGCATGAAAGAACAGAATAGAGTTTAGCGCATCTTACAATGAGGGACAACGCCTGCACAAAAGAAAGCGTTGACATAACCAGTTCTGCCACTTGGTAAACTGGCATGATACCATCTTGGATTTTCGGTAACAGCATTTTGAATCGGTCTTCTGAGAACATAGCAATCACATGGATAATCCTGCTCTGCCCGAACGAAGCCAACTACCGTACAATTATCTGCTGGGCATTGGTAAACACGACCGGGTTGTAGGCATGTAATAGTACCAGCCTTCTCATATGAAAATAAAATTGAAATAAAATATAAAAAGAAACTCACGAACAACTACTATTCATACCTGACAATGCCACATGCTCAATGCCAAAATAATCAATGCTGATCCGACTAATGTGTTATAAGCCATTTTGTATGTAAAAGATGATTGTTCGAGTACTGTGGAGAAACTGCATTATACAATGCCGTTTATATACAAAAACTATTCCCTTTCTGGGAATGGATTTTTCGATGTAATTACGCCTTTCAAAATATATGTTTAATGAGTAATTCTTTAGAAAACGCATACAAACAATGCATTGGGTTTACTACCTCGCACTTCAAGTATTTCTTCGGAAGAAGGAAATAACCATGGATCTTTTCGTCGAAAAGAAACATTATTTACGAAATAATTGTATATTTCCAAGAAACTTCATTTCTATGGCATCAACACTCATTATTTTTTCTTTATTTACTTCCGAAAAGAAATATCCATGTATGATGTATGTACAAACAGTATGCAAATGTTAGGCTAGAACGCGTACAGTTGCAATTTCTGACGTCAATTTTTTAGAATTATTCGATAATCTTGAAAGTTTTAGAACTCCTTACTAACGAAAATGAAGAGATTTAGAAGAAATTACAGAAACTAGTAGATGTTTCTTTAAATTGTCAGTTAATATGAAGTTCTAACAATGCATTTCAACGATATACAAATTATGATTAATCTTGTCTAACTTGTTCTCCTTCGATTTTATATCAATATACGAAGTTTATTCTTATTTAATTAATTAAATTCATCTCTTTCGATAATAATGCAACAAAATCGCTGATTCAAATGTGTCAAAGCTTACGAAATTAGTTAAGATTCTTTGATTATTTTTCTTTCCAATTTTTATTTTTTTCCTAGAAAAATCACCTGTGTCACTATTTTGATTTTTGTTCTTTTCTGCATGACGTTACTTAAATAAGCACTTATAGTGATTGCTTATATTTTTCTTTCGTATGGGTTATTCATCAAGTTCTAAAGAAAGTGATGTAAGTTCCAAGCAGTTCGAAGTTTGTGTACAATCTTTCTTTGTATTTTTTTACATCATGGGAAAAAAACTGGAGGTGATGGTGACGAATATTTACTTTTCATACTCAGTAAATACTTTCTCCCCATCGAATATTACGAAATATTGAATTTTTCAAAGAAACAGCCGCTTTCAATTGATCTTTGTTAATATTTACTTTGCGAAAATCACTTTCAATCAATGTGTCATTCAATAAATCTATATTATTGAATTCAGCTGCATTGAATATACATTTTTCACAGCGAACATTTTGTCATTTTTATTCATTTAAAATATATCATATCGAATGATTCTCCCATTACATGAACTGTTCATTACACTATTGTTTTTGCGAAACATCATTCATTTAAAATCAATAATTATGTATATGGTGTTAATAAGTAAAATTCAAAGATTATGTAGTGTAAGAAAAACTTATTATATTAAATTAAAAAAGAATTTTCTTATGATTAATAGCATGTGCACATTGGAAGAAAGAAAAACTAGACACAGTTTAAAAATAACCAAGTTAACTTCGAAATAGTCATATTCTTAAATGTATTGTCATTATATTTTATACTATGTGAAAATTATAATAAAAAAAAGTAATCTTCATGTGTTTATTATTTAAATAGGATATAACAACAGCAATTAGATTATAGAAAAATATCCAGGAGTTTTTCCTTCTTCAAAAGATCGTTCTACAGATATAAGATTAAAAAAAATGTTTTTATTCTATTAAATGTATACTGAATTTCAATTTATTTGAAAATAATTTTGGTCCTATTACTAATCCATATCTGATTAAGACACAAACTATTGCCACTCGTATATATATATTATTTTAGTATTATATAAATATAAAGAATCGGTTATACATTCGATAAATATCAATACACCTTCGTATACCAAATATATTGATTTATACAATAATCATTCTGACTCTCTTTCGTGTCCGTACACAAATATTAATATACAGTATTTATTTTTACCATCATAACTATATTTTTTAAAAATGTGTCTTCTTCTCGATAAAAAATCTTGAGAGTAAATAGCGACATCATATAGTGTTTATTATTAAACTTCAATCTAGTGGCTGCCATATAGAGATGTCACTTTTTACTATATTATAATGGCGATATAAATATTTCATATTTTTCTCTATTTAACGAAAAATAATGTTTTCAACAAAAAAAGATTTTGCTCTCTTAGCTCGACAAATTTCTTTACCAACTCGAGAAACTACTAAGGAAAATTCTACTCCATTTCTTGTTGATATTTATCAAGTACGTTTATGGAAATTAATTCATTCACCTGAACAAACTGATCTAGATGATATTGCACAAGAATTTCAAGTTTGTTAAAAACAGTGAATTCATTAATAGAAAACGTTTTTTTGTCTATATTTACAGTGTAATTCACAAGAATTACTTCATACATTAGTTGCTTTATATGATAAATGTTTATCAGAAATTGGTGGGTAAGTTATTATTTATTTATTTATTTATTTTTTAAATTTGATTTATTTTCGATAGTGAGACAATTTACAGCACAATATGTGAACGAAAGGTTGTTTCAATACTTATCGTATATAGTAAATTTTAAATAAAATTATTTATTTCTTAAATTTAATAAATAATGATTTCTTTTTTTCTATAGATAATCCAGAAGTTGTAATAAAACAAGGAGCTGTTAGTAATCTTGTTACCGATGAAGAAGATTGTCTTGATACATTACTTGAAAATATAGAAGAACCAGATAGTGTTTTTCATGATGTTTTTTCAGATGCATCATCAAGTGAAAGTTCTGAAGAAGAGTTTGTATTATTATTTAAAATTAAATTGTATATTTAAATTATAACTTTTAAAGAGATGAAGATGGTGATGAAGATGAAGATGATGAACGTGATTATTCGATTGGTGTTGGAAAATTTTTAAAAAAAGTGAAAGCTGAAAAACTTAATCTTCATAAACGTCTTATTGGTAGTTTGAGTTTTCAAAAAATAACCATGTTTCCAACACCGTAGGTGCAAATGAATAGTTTTAATTCTAGTCAATCTGTCATTTTTATAGAGCACACGAAGAACATGTTTTAGATCTTTTGTTATTAGCTTGTCGAAAAAAATATCGTGGCCGTGGAATAGGTCGATATTTAATGAAAGTAATCAAATTAGATAGATAATAATATATATATTGTTTTTTAATTATATTGTAGTTATTAATGAATCGAGATTATATTGGAGATTATGATGCTATTATAACAGCATCCGATCAGGGTGCCATTAATTTTTATCGAAAATTTGGTTTTACTGAAGATGCGATTTTATTAAGCAAATACAAGTAGTAAATTAATTGATTTTGATTAAAATCTATTATATATCTTTATTTTTAGAGATATTGGAGATTGTTGGACAAATACAACAAAAATGTGTTATTTACCACCGTACAATGGTAAATAGTGTAGTGTGTTCGATATAAAACTCAATCTAAAAAATATTTTAGTTATTGATGAAGATCCTATTCGATGTTTAACTATGATGGATGATCAATTTCAAAAATGGTACTTTTATTTCTCAAAAAATTGACTTACTCTTTTGTTTTGTTCTTAAATTTAGGCAGAAAAGTATGTTTCATGGTTATCAAAATCAAGCCGCTTTATTTCAACGATTAAAACATGAAATGATTGGTTTATATGCAAAAGTAAATCTTTAATTTCTTTATTTTTCGTATTTCAATTTCTTTATTTAACTCTTACAGATAAATGCACAAGACCAAACAATTGTTTCTCTAAATCGTGAACGATTTTTACTTGCAAAAGAAAATGCTGCACTCAGTAACTTAATTTTTCAGATACATTGTCTTTGATCTGAACTTTGTACTTTGATTATTTAGAAGTAAAATTATCTGAATCAGCTTCTTATCAAGATGATGAAATTCGAGGTAATGAAGAAGATTTTGTTGAAAATATAAATTTAATATGTGTGTGTTAAGAAAATGAACAACTTGAAACACTTCAAATGATTCGAGAAATGGAAAAGATTTCTATACTGAATGAAAAATTACTAGTTGCTCAAATGTCTTTATTGATGGATGATGATTGTACTACACAAATGGCTGTTGAATATTGTCGAAATCGACTTAAAGATGCAAAAAACTATGAAATTAAAGCAGAAAAGGTACATTTTCTTTACAGATATATGAAACTCAATAACAAAATTTTTATTTTATAGATTACTCTTGATGGTGCAACAATTGCTTTATATCAAAGTTCTCTTCCATTACTTCATAATGGTAATCAAAAGAATGAAACATTGTTATTTTATTCTGGTCATTCTGATCATATTGATATCATAGCTAATGCTGGTTTTACTAATGAAGGTGAATAATTAATTATAACTTGAATTTATTCTTATATTTTTCTTCTCTAGATTTTCTTTATGGTTCAGTTGGTAAAGGTCTTTATTTTCATACAAATATAAAAAATTTACAAAAAGAAGTAAATCAATTCACTCAAAATATTTATTGTAACTTTTCTTTTATTTAGAAATATCTTCTTTGTAAAGTTGCATTAGGTCGTATCGAACTTATATCTAAACCAAAAACAAAATCAACTATTACATTAAAAAGAAATACAGAATATGATTCTGTTAAAGTTTGTTTAATTATAATCTTTTTTTTAAATAATTTCTTATTCTTAATTAGATTCTCGATATGGATATAAATGTCGATGATGAAATAGTTGTATTTGATTCTCATCTTGCTTTACCATTGTTTATTATAACATTTGAATAAAAAAAAGAAAAACGAAAAATATCTAGTGCAATTTTAATTTGTTTGAGTTTTTTTCATTAAATAAAGTCGTATTGGACTTGATACAGTTATTTTAATAGAATTAAAATCAAATTTTTCATCATTCATTTTTCGTTGTTGAGTATTTATATATGAATCAATTAATTTTCCACGTAATATTTCTAATAAATTTTCAAATGATTTTTCACCTTCTTGTTTTCGATATGTTTGACAAGCAGAAAATGTTTGAATTAAATTAATATATTCTCCAATTGTTGTTTCTACTCGTTTTTCTATTGTATGTTCAACAAGAGTTGATTTATAAGGTAATAATGGTAAAAGTGATTGATAATAATCATCAGCTAACCATCGTTTACTATCCCAATATGGAAATAATGTTACATCAGTAAATTCATGACTAATAGCATCAGCTACGGGATTATCTAATGTACCTAATGCGTATGTCCATACAGCAAAAACACCAACATTTGGTTTAAGTACTCGTTGAACTTGTTGAACAAATGATTCAATATCAAGCCAATGTAATGCTGTAGCAATAGTAACTAAATCAACGGAATTTGATTCTTGAAATGTCAAATCTTCAGCTTTTTGACATCGATATTCTACATTATCTTTTTGAATTGCATGTGCTATTTGATTAGCACTTACATCAATACCAATAACTCGATCACAATATCTTAAATAAAAGATAAAATTATTTTAAAAAAATAAAGAATATTTACGAGCTTAATTCAACTGTAGCTTGTCCACTACCACAACCAACATCAAGTGCAAATGGAATTTTTGCATCTGTTTGATTATTATTGAAATAATAATTAATAATATATTCGAATAATTGACGTGGATAACCTGGTCGATAAAGACGATATTTATTTGTATGATCTTGTTCTTCAAATAGTTGACAGCTCATAGTTTTTCTTGTACTTTTTTTAAATGAATGATGTGCGTTTTTATAACTTGTTATTTATTCTTTTCTTTTCTTTCTTTCTTTCTTTCTTTCTTTCTTTCTTTCTATTTGCTCTTATCACATTAGACTTCATATATTGTCAGAAATTTGTCGATTAAATCTTTTGTTAGCAGACACACAGACACAAATAAAAATAAAAAAAATAAAGTGCACATTTTTATACTGAATCTATATCATGATACTTTGTTGTGGGTAGGCTTTTATTTCAACAAAAACAAGTGATAAGCCTCTAAGATTTTTAGTACACAATTTATGTTAAAAAAACAGCATTTTTTTCTTGATAAAATAAAGTATATGAAGAAGAAGAATACCATCTGTTGTAATTAATTATTAATATTATTCATGCCTCGATAAGTATGATAGTTTTTTTTTATTAAAGTAAATTTGTTTTCTTCTATTGTCTTTAGCGATCAAATAAAGAATAAATCAATAGACTTTATCGTTCTTAGTTTTTGGACGACCTTAATGAAAGGAAATTTGAGTACAAACTATCTTTATGATAAAGTGTGATTGATGTATTTCTTAAAATTTTCACTATGAAATTTAATAGAACGAGTTATGATCATTTCGACTGACTATCAAAAATCTCAACTTTCGATTTTTCATAGATAAGGCTCAAGTATCTTAAAAGTTTTCGAATATGTCAATGTTATCTACTATCGGACTTTTTGCAAAAAAAAGTCAAAATGCTTCACTATTCGAAGGATTTCATCATAAATCTCTTCAGTGAAAGATAATAAACAAAATGATGAAATTAAACTACTGTTAAGTTCTAAACTTTTATATTCATTGTAATAAAAACAATGAAAAATTTCATTTTATTTTCATGTTAGTAATGATTTGATGTTAACAATTGAATAAACAAATAGAACAAAAAACGAAAACAAATACCCACACTAAATTCATTCTCATTCTATAATGAAAAGCTAATTAAACAAAATTTTCTTTACTGACATATAAATCTTGTTAGAAAGGCAACTTTAAAAATCAACATATATATTAAAATATATACAAGCTTTGGTTTTTTCTCTTTCATTTTAAGCAAAAATGTTTACATAATTAAACATGTTCTTGAATTAGAATTTGTCGTTGAAGGAGCAGCTGCTGGTGGTTGTGGTGGTGGTGGTGGTGGTGTTGATTTTGCACCAAAAATTCTTGAAAAAAATCCTGGTTGTTGAGCAGGTGGAGTTTCCTTCTTTGATGTATCAGCATTTGAATTGTTTGTTGTTGGTTTAGCAAGTGTTTTTGTTGCTGGTGAACGAAAACTACCTCGAGCAGCATCACTTGGTTTAGAACCAATTGTTTGATTTCCATCACGTGATGATGAATTAGGTGCTCCTGCACGTGCTTGAGGTGGCAATGAACTTCGACGAACAGCAGTTGGTGGTGGTTGTTTACTATGTCGATTAGATAATCTTGGATTATCTTCGTCGTTATCATCGTCATCATCATCTTCTTCATCCTCGGAATCCTCAATATTACGACGAGGAGGTTGCCGTGATTTTCGATTTAATGTTTCACTCATGGGTGTTTTAGTTGGAGGAGATGAACGTTTAACTTTTTTATCTTCATCACTTTCACTAGTATTTTTACGTCTTGTTATAGGAGAAGGTTTTCGATCATTTCGTAATGGTGGTGATGATCGATCAGATTTTTTAGTAAAAGATTTGGATGGTTGTTCTTCTGATGATGATTTATCTTCGTCGGATTCTGATTTTTTCTTTTTTAATATTTGTTGATTTGATTTATCGAATCGTGTATTACGTATAGGTGGTTTATCTTCGTCGGAATCCGATTTTTTCTTACTTAATGTTTGTGGACTTGATTGATCGAATCGTGTATTACGTAGAGGTGATTTATCAAGTGCTGGTAAACGATTATTTGTTTTATTTAAATCATCTGTATCTTTATTAAGACGTGCTGTACGATCTAATACACCTGTTTTTAATGGTTTAGAATCATCATCAATCGAACGTAATGTAGTACGATTTAATGATGGACTTTGTGTTGGTTTAAATCGACCATTTGTTAATGTATGTGTTTGATTAAATGTTGCACTTTTTAATGATTCAGATAATTCTTTATCAGATTTATCATCATCATCATCAGCTTCTACACGTAAATGATTTTGTGAACGAAGTGGTTTAGCATGTTGAATAGTTGCATCAAGTGAATCACCAAATGTACTGCTACGATTCGTTATTTTTTCATTCCGTAGATTACGTGCTACACTTTTTGGACGTTGTGTTACAGAAAGTGTTGCATCTAATAAGATAAATATATATATATATGAATAGAAAATATATTTAACAAGAAAACCTACTTGAAATATCGTCTTCACTTCCGGACGATTTTTTCTGATCAGTCGTTTTCTTTTGAGCAAGAACTATTGTTTGACAACCACCACAAACAACTTTTAAAACATTATAACTTTTAAATTTATCAATAAGACATGGTTCAAATTCATTTGAATGAGTTTGTGAACCTAATTTACCATGTTTACCATCACCACATACATAAATATCACCACGAGAACCAAGAATAATTGTATGAGCTTCACCAGCAGCAACTGCTGTTAAACGTTTAGGTAAACCAGGAACAAATTCAAATGTTTCTGCTGAGTGAACTTTATGGCCAAGACCAAGTTGACCACGATCACCATGTCCTAAAAAAAATTTTAATCAGAGAGCTATACTCTAATGCTAACATTCTGTTTATTATGAATTTTTATTGTTTTAGTCCCTTATATAAAATAATCCGTTTTCTTTCTAAGTTCATATCATGAAATATTAGTGTGAAGCATTTTGGTTATTTCAAGGACGTCGTCAATTAGTCATTTATTTCAATACATGATATAACATACCACATGTGTACACGTCTCCTTTTTCTGTTAATACAACTGTGTGTTGATTTCCACAAGCAACAGCTTTAACTTTATCTGGCAATGAAACTTCTACTGGACCAACAAATTGATCCGGTACTGAACGTCCTAATTGTCTATCATCATTATTTCCAAATAAAAATAAACGACCATCACTACTAACTAATGCTGTATGATAATATCCACATGATCTAAATGAATAGAAAAAAAAATAATAAACGAATTAAAAAAATATTCTTAATATATTTACATAGCAACAACTTGATATTCTACTCGAAGTTCTCTAGGTATTTTAATTGTATCATTTTTACGTGGTTGTCCACATTGACCATCTTCATTTGAACCCCAAACATATACGAGACCATCTTCTGTTAATGCACATGCATGTTCAGCACCCATTGATATTTGTTTCCAATTAATTTTTCCTCTAAAATGTTCAATTTTACTAGGTTGAGTATGAATCATTGTTGTATCTTTTGATTCTATTCCTAATTGTGAACGATTATTTGAACCAAATGCATATATTGAACCACGATTTGTTGCAACAAGTGATGATTCACGACCACATGCAGCTAAAATAACTCTTTCACCTGTATCTCCAAATTTTAAGGTTTTTATACATGAAACTTTTTCAACATTATTCGTATGACCAAGACCTAATTGACCTATTCAAAAGCAACAAAAGTTATTGAATTAAAATAATGATTTTGAATTTTTTTTTCTCACCTGAACCATTATCACCAAAAGCAAATGCACGACCACTTTCAGTAATAATAAGTGTATGTCGATCACCAGATGCCATTTGAACAATAGGATCATTTCGAATATAAAATTGTCCTTGATTATTTGCTAAATATGTTTTACCTAATAGATAAACTTGTGCAGCATCATTGTCATTCTCATTATTAGCCATTCGATTTATTTTATTAGAGAACAATAAAAAACAATTGTCTATCTCAAAATGAAGACTTCTAAGAAGAAAAGAAATAAATATTCAGATTTTTTTCTACGTTTGTTAGATACTAACGATATGTCGCCATAACAGTTCTTTATTTCACCTTGACAACAAGTATGATGAAATTTTGAAATTTTAATAAATATTTTTCTTCTCTCAAGTATTGATCACAAATTAAATAAAATATTAATCATCTAAAATATTCAAACTAGTTTCAATTCATAGATGTCACTCATTGATGACAAGCAAATAACAACAATTAGAACAGTATTCAGGTCAAATATTACGGTCATCGGAAGTGGGAGTAATATTTCGGCAGGAAATTTTTTGGATTTTAGTCAATTGTCTGTTCTTTCTTGCAGGAACCGGTGGGAAATACTGTCTCCGTGTTCTAGCGATTTACACTGTATTCTTGCCGGAACCCGCCTTTGTTTTTTTGACATGAATAGTTCTTTTCAACTTATAATCCATCGGAAGTACTTATTTCCTCTCATTGATATTCGTAGGCGATAGTTCAGCAACTAATATTGTGTCAAACAATCCACTTAGTTTTATATCATTGGTGATTCGTACTTCAGTATAATCTTATTTCTTTAGAAGTATTTCATAGTATAAATGACTATGGCAACATGACCATACATCTAATTATTTATTTATTTTTTCCCAACATAAATAATATATAAATGAAAATGAAAATTTTTTTATTTTTCAGTAGTTAAGTGCAAATATATTTGTCTATTGATATACTATTAAAATACCTGTAAGTCAATACAAAGCACATGACGACACAAGAAATAAAATTATTGACTTAGAAAACTTATGAATATATTTAATAACTAGATTTATCATTCATCGAGAAGGCAAAAAGTACGAGAAGTAATACTTGTAATTATATAAAATAACATACTGGAAATGTTTATGATGATATTCAACAGAAAGGTGCATCGAGTAAAAAAGAATGGTTTTCAATTATTCCTCTTAATAAGCTTAATCTTTCCGTTTTACTTTGAATAGCGTCTAAGAGGTTTTAAAAGTTTATATCTAATTATTATTATCCATAAATAATTTTGTCACACAAATTACTAATTATATGCTATCAAGGTTCAATTTCTCTTGAAAATTGATTAACTAATCTTCGATACATGTATTTTCTATCATAAACCAGATAGTATTTCACCAATGTTAATTTCTATCTATTATTTAGTTAAAAAAAAATTTAATAATTTGCCACTATTCATTCAATAGACAAAACAGCTAATAAATATATATTAAACCGCTCATAATTGATAATGTCAAGAATAATATTTGTCAATCATCTTATGTTTAAAAAAAACAGATAGGAGTAAACGCGTTTAAACGTCACAACTCATTATCTGTCTTGTCAAATTCAGACAATAAAAACGATAGATGTATTTTTAAAATAACATACAAATAAGAAACAAAGAAAAAAAAAGGCCTGTAAAATATCATTACAAATATTTTTATATTCATCTGTTATATGTAATACTTTGTTCTATTATACTAATACTCGTGATAATCATAATTTTTCACCATATATTCATAAATTGATAAATAGTGACATTTGTTTTTTGTTCAATATTATTATATTGTTGAACAAAAGAAAATATCATGTAGGAAATAATTAATCATGTGATGTGAATATTGTTTGATCTTCTTGTGATGCATCACTGATAGAGGTACGACTTCCAAATACCCCAAGAGATGGTGTTAATAAATTATTTTGAATAATAGTATTATTCATATTATTCATATGATTAATATTAATATTTTCATGTAGATGTGTTGTCATTTCTACTCGTGAATTATTTGTATTTTTATTTTGACATAAACTAAATATCATACATTGAAATAATCGATAAAATTCTTCACGAAAACGTTTATTTGTTAGAATATATAAGAAAAATGTTGACATAAAATAACATTGTTGTAATAAATCTAAACTTTTTTGTGTTATAGCTATTGAACATAATTCATTATGATTTTCATTTAAATGATTTAATCGATTTCTTAATCGTAAAACATATACATTAAATATATTATGTGGTGTTGTAAATAATATAAATACACAATTAAGTGATATAAGTAATATTGATAAATGTAATTCCATTCGACGACGAGATTGTTTTAAATGTTGATTAGTAGAATTAATAAATGTATATTTTATTGATACATGTCTTAAGATAATTATTGTTGCAAAAAGACTTATTAAAAATGGTAAAGTTCCAAATAAAACTAATTCAACTATTGGTAAAATTGATGTTAAATATTTTCCATAGGATAATGAATATCCATCTGTATCTTTAACTGTACACATTGTTATATCTTCGGTATATGGATGTGGTACTGTATAACCATAAGATGTTAACCAATGTAAATCAAATAGAGCTATAAGACAAGCAAAACAGAATTCAATTAAACAAACGCGAATAAATGCTTTTGCACAACCATATTGTCGACGATTATTTTGATGATTATAATGATGTTGATGACTTGTTTTTGATGTTACTGTACGAACACGATCAATATCAACAGCTGTCAATGTATATAAAGAAAAATGTGTTAAGAAATCAATCAAAAATCGATTTAATAAACGACAAAAAATAAATAATGAAAGATTTTCTAATGTTAAACCAAAATAAACACCAATAATAGTAAAAAAAGCATGTATAAGTGATAATAATGCATTTGATAAACTAAGAAAAGCAAGATAGGAAAATGTTGGTCGACGTCTTAAACGTGGTTGTATAAGAACAGCAAACGAAAATAGATTTGCTATAAAACCAAATGTAAGTAAAAATAATGGTTGAATTTTCATCATTAACATAAGTAGATCAGAGTGACATTCTGAATCATCATAATCTACTGAATTAATCGATGATGATGGATGAATTATAACAGCATTTGTATTATTAAAACGCATTATAATTATTATATTTCAATTGATCTATTAAATATCGAAAGTAATCAGACATTATCTTAATAATATAGAACAAAATATTTTTTAAATATAAGTTACACTTACGTATATCTAAGTAATTCTATTTAATTAATAATCTCAATTAAACAATAGTTATCATGATATTTTATATATTCCATAAAAAATTCTTTTCTATTGACTTTCTATAGTGCAAACATTGTCTAAAAAGTCGACTGCTTTTAATGGTTAGAGAAGTCAAGGTTTAAGTAAGAGTAGTATGTCTATCTAACAAAATATAAACACATAATAGAGAAGTGCATTATAACGTTTCTTTATATAGAAAAAAAAATGTTTGTGTACCTTTTACATAATTATAATTATACAATATATACTTTCAGAAATACAAACACTTATTTTTAACACACTTTAATTAACGGTTTCTTGAGTTAAAATATACTATTTATGACCTGTTGGCGTCTGACTGTAGGAACTTTTTATTGATACATTATGCTAATAGTTAATTTACTATGACATCGCCTACTTTTTTTATTTTGCTTTTCACATGCAAAAATTTCATAGACTGGAAGACAACAAAAGTTTAGAAAAAACGTTTAAAATGGCAGATGTATGTCATGATTATTTAAATATTTATAGAACTTAAACATATTATACAAAACACCTACTTTTTAAATGAGAAATATTACATAGAAATCTGTTTGTTGAATACTTACTTTTCAGTAAATAGAAGTTTAAAGAAAATCTCTTGTTTAGTTTTCTCTCTATCGGAAGATTATTTATTTTATTATTTCCGCTTGATAGCTAATGAGTAAAAGAGACGCCTATTTTATCCAATGGATCTTACTTTATCTTTCGTAGAATAGCAACCTGTCAAATCTAAGATTAAACGACTTTGTCTGTCATGATAGTAATTTTTGGATACCTCATTATTTTTCTTATTATGAGTAATTTAAGGTAAAATAATATCAAGAAACGAAAAAAAAAAAGATAATCTATTATAAGCAGATTATCCTATCTATCATAAGAAGAAGAGGAGTTCTTTTTAGTGGGTATCAAATAAAATATATGAAAAAGGATTTTGTATCTATATATACTACGTACTGCAATATAAGACGTCTCTAATGTGTATTGTTCTTAATGCCGAAAAAAGTTGAAGGCAGAAGGAAGAAAAGAAAAGAGGAAATGGAATATTTTTTTTTCTGAGACGTTATTATCAACCATATTGTAAAGCTCATTCATATATATATAGAAAAAGAAAAAACACAAGAATACTATTTTGCTCGAAAATCCAGGAAAAAAAAAGAGAAGAAAGATTGTTCTCAATAGTACTTCAGTTTGTGCCTAAACATGCATATATCTCTTTTGAATTATATGAAGTAGACATGTTAGCTTCTTATGTAATAATTGTTATATTTAAGGAAAATATTTCATACAAATTCACATGCGTAGATTAAAAAAAAATACCTTTAAAAATAACAAATTAGTTTTTTTTAAATTATTTATATATGAACGACGCAAAAGAAACCAACACTTTAATATGACACTAAAAACGAAATCTCATATAACAGTTTTCTTGTTGATTTCTTTTTTCTTTCATTAAAAATGCTACTGCTTCACCTGTTGTTCTATTTATATATCTTTGGAGCATGACCGATTAATATATTTTTTTTCTTGCATCTTCAAAATGTCTATCAATATTTTATTTATATCTTTTTCACTTTTAATATGTATTATTTAAAAAATGTTAAAATTAACAATAAAAGTATACTAGTTAGACATGCAATTCATTGATCTTGAATATTATTATAACATGTTCATATGTAACTATTCTATTTTTTGCATATATATATATATTATATCATAAGATAATCATAATGTTGAACGTCACATGATATATAAATGGATTGTTTTTTTTGTATTTTATTAATTCCTATAATGAAAAACAGGATATAAAGAACTTACCATATATATATATATATATAGTCTTTTTTTTTCTCTTAACATCGTCTTTTTACGTTGCACCAATAATACGAGCCAGACGAACAAAGAATTTTGTCTTTATTGTCATTGTCCGTCCTAACTCGCACGATCGAGCGCAAGTTATAATCACTATATAATTGACTGAATTGTTTTGAAAAAAAATTTTCTTTTATATACTCTCGTAGAAGAGAGAATACGAAAGAGAAAAAAAAACGAATAGCATATACACTCATACACGTATATAATCATTTGTCTATCTTTAAGCCAACATTGATGGTGAGAATGGTATCTTAAGCTAACAATCACAAGTAATTTATAGGTAACGATGGGAACTATAGTCATATGGAATATATACCAGTAATGCTATCTTATTTTATCGATAAAATAAGAGAGAAATAGTGATAAACGTCATGTTGTTCACACAATTGAATATCGAATAAGCAAGTATAAACGAAACGATGTCCCTTTTTCTTCTCTCTCTCTGTTTTTATTTAACCTTCATAATATTGTTTAAATGATGTTTGTTCAAAGATCGATCTTGGCATAGCAATCAAGCCTTTCGTCAATAAATAAAACGAAAAGAAAAGGCTTAACAGAGTCACCTGTTTTGTTAGTAAAGATAAAAGATAATTTAGCAAAAGAAATTAATTCAATATAGATACTTGTGCAAATATATATATATCAACATGATGATTAAAGTTTTAAGCAAATGAAAATCAATTATCACAAAAAAAAGAGACGAAAAAGAAAATATATACACATATAAATTTACAATTTATATTTTCAATTAATATCCGTTGGTAAAAGAACACGATGTGTATAATAAGAACCATAAGTTTGTCTCATATTAGGATTGCGTTTTGTTGTATTATATAAATTAGTATTATTGATTCCTTCTGATTGTCCATCGTGTGTAACAACAGGTGAAGTCATATGACGTCTTGTATGTAAGATATTTGCCGAACGTGAACGTGAAAATATTGGTGGATGAGATTTTATTATTGTATCTGTAATTGGATGAGGAAGAGTATATTTAATTGCTGATGATAAAGGACGATTTAAAGTTGAAGCTATACGGGCATGAGCTGCAGCAGAATTTAAACGTAATGGAACAGTTGGTGATTTTGACATTGATATATGTGACATTGGTTGTGTACATTGAACAGCAATTGTTGCTGGTTTTAAAACTGTTCGTGATGTTATATTATTAGATGAAGTTATTATACGTAAATTATTATCATTTGTACGTGTTGAAGATTGAACAACACCTATTGGTAAAGTAGCTGAACGAGCACGTCCTATACGTGTTGTATTTCCATTCGTATATTGATCATTAGTAGATTGATTTGTTGATAACATCGATGTATATGTAAAAGCTGATTCAGATAAAGGTACATATGTAAATGGAAGACTTCGATATTGTTCCGCATTACGTATAGCTGTTGAACGATTTGAAGGTTTTATTTCTTCATCATTTTCAGAAACTAATGGTTGAATTAAAGATGAACTTAAGTTTATTCGTTCTTCAGGTGTATGAACAATAATTAAAGGTGGATTATAAGTTGAATTATGTTCATTTGTTTCATCTGTAATTTTAAATGTTTTAGTTTGTGAAGGCCAATCTAATAATCGATTTGTTGAAGAATATAAAGTATGATTTAAACGATTGGTATGTAATTTTTGATGCGAAATATTTGATGAATGAAGTGGTAATGAAGAAAATGGTGACACAAATGACATTGCTGGTGTAGCATCTGTATATACCCATGAACGATATGTATCATAACCAGAATTACGTACAGTATCATGTAATGGTACTTCATGTACAGTAGGTACATCATTAAATGAAACACTTTTACGATGTGATGGATCACGTGGACGTTTAGCAGATAATGATCGATAAAAACTTGTACGAGCAGGTAATGAGCTAGCAAGTAAATCGTCCGATATATTTGTATCTATTTTATTATGTATATTCGACATGTACTGAGATTAAAACGAATGTTAATGTTATTTTCTATGTTATTTAAAAATAAAAATGAATTTATTGCTTCGTTTCATATTTATTTTATTATTCATAATCGATTGTGTGTGTTTATCTAAACGAAAACATACAGATGATGAAAATATTTAATGCTTATCAAAAAAAAAAGAAGAAAATGTTACTAAAACGGGAAGTACGTAGCTATAGTAATAGAAAAATCATTTGTTTGACTTAAATAAAAAATTTTTCATACTGTTTGTACTCTCGATGAAATGAATCATAGTTTGGATTTGTCTATAAATCTATCTCTATTACTCGACTAAAAGGTTTACCACTTATTAAACTATGTTAGAGAAAATGTGAGCGATTAATGTTTACTTTTGAACGTGCGGCATCATGCAAACAAAAGTTTTTCTTTTTTTTTTTTTGACAATGCCCTTCGCCTTTTTTTACTTCAATACTTGCTTTAGTTTTTAATGCTCAATGACGAGGACGCCAATAGCTAACATCACTCCAAAACTATGAGATGATGGTGGAGAGAATAAGAGAGAATTGTGAGGAGGTTTACGTCTATTATTGCCCTTTACTATTATTCTCTAAGAAGAAATTTGAATATAGGGAAAAAAAGAGAGAACAAACGACAATGGCCATGACAATTGCATGCAATATGAGTGTGAAAACATTGATTAAGTATTGGTAAGGCAACAGACGATTGAAAACGAGAGCACGATATATGTATTAGAAATTGCTTTTGTTTTTTCTTATTAAGGAAAAAAAAGGGAAATAAAAATATATCCAATGTCACAAGAAAGAATAAATTAGCAAATAACATCGTGTTTAAAAATCGGTTTTCTTTTTCTTTCTTTCTAAATATCTTTTCTCATTAATAAAAATTGACAGACATTTTTTTTTTGTTTTTTTAAATATAAAATCAATTAGATATTTTTTATTTGTTAAAAGCATATAAATTACTGTGTTTTTTGTTTTTTTTTTGGAACTACGGAACAGGAAACGGAACTAATATTTAAAGATTTTCTTTTTTATTTTCGAAATTAATTATAACAGATGAATAAAGATATCCGTTTTCTACTATAAATAATAAATATGATAAACTATTATTGAAATAATCCTAATCTCTTAAGGAAATACATTTGTCATCTAATATTATTCTATTTTTAAGAATAAAAAATCTATAAATGAATTCGACATTGTTTGTTATCAAGTACTAAACATGCACTTAAAGTATGTGTACTTAAGACTATTGCAAGAATTCAATTGATGTTTGAATACTTAGTACGGATACTTGTGATGAATTTCTAAGTATGTCAATTGAGTATGAGTTCTTTTACTATGAAATGTTTCATGAATAATTCTATATGCGCACAAATGATCTATGCAAAATATTATGAACCAACACTCTTTATAGACAGACATTCAATTGTTTAAGAGCTGAAAACACATCAAGAAATATTTATGTAAATCAATTTCTATTAGGAAATAATATTCATATGCAGATAAGTAAAGATGATTTGAATAAAAACTTACCTGATTAAGAAGAGACTTCACTTCTATTCTAATATTTTCTCCACAATAGACTTTTTAAACTGCCTACAGACAATCATCTATTCGAAAAGAGGGCGTGTGCAAACATATGAGTTTCCACCAGCGTGTACTAATTTCTTTAAAAAAATGTTTGTACTAAGTACCTCTATATTATGGACACAGTCATGTTTTAACAAAAATATTCTTTTCTAATGTATATTTTACTACTATAATTGTTCTCTAATCTATGCACATGTGTAATGTTGTTTTAAACTTCTTTCTATTCTTCGTCATTTATTTCTTATTCAATACAAGTGTCTGCATTTTATTTATAGGTTAATTTTGTCTGATAGTTAGAAAATCTTTCGATGGAAGTAAACATTGAGAAATAGATATTTTCAAATACTATGATTCATTTCATAATTTAATTCTTTCTTTATATATAAACATTTTCATTCAATACAAGATTTATTATCTAGCATGTTTTAGTCAATATGATAGGTTATTCATTATTGCAGCATTTTACTTGAAAAATAAGAAATTTTTTTATTAAAATATTTAACTGAGGTGATGAAATATATAAATATCATATCGATAACTTATTTAGTAGATTTTTTACTGAGAAACATTGAAAACATATATAATTGATAAACAAGACAAGCAATATTGGCCTAGACATATATATTATTTCATCATGTGAGACAACACAATAAGAAACCTTTTAAAAGAATAAAAATGATAATATTTCGGCGAATATTGAATTTAATCTTTTTTATTCTCTAAGAAGCCAAATAGATTTTAATAATTGAAAATTGATTTGTATGGAATTATTTCGTTCTTTTTCTCAAGGTATTGATCATAGTTTTGAAAAAAATCATTGATATTTATGTTGGATTAATATGAAATTAAATATGATATTGATAAACAGATTCTTACAATTTACCAACATTGAACGTCATCTATGTAGTGCGATGATGAATGGTGAATTTTGCACTTTTCTTTTCTCCTCCTCCTCTGCAACAACTAACTGCAGGCATAGGAGGAGAGAAAAAGAGAACAAGGCGTAACTGTCATATTTTATGCAACAGTCATTTTTTCTGTTTGCTCTCCTCTTGGTTCTTAATTCACTTGCATTATTCAGATTTATTTGCTCACCTTTCTAAATTCTTCTAGTAAGTGCATAAAAGAAGTCGAACTTTGATACTCATAAACATCAACAATAAATCATGTGTTTTCACTCATGTTTCATTCACTATATAATCATAAAGTCTTATTTCATTCCAACACAAACAGAGATCATTCTTTTTTTCTAATCTGAGTTTCTGTTTTGAATCAACTAGTCTCCCTTGAGAAATATAGTCTTCCTGAGATAATATAAGAGTTAGTTAACATTCATTCAATAGTATTATTAATATTTTGAAGCAAGGTGAAAACAATACTCATCATTATTACCTCTTCACGTGCTTATCCGCTGTCATTAGTTTTGAAAAGAGATTTAGATTAGCAAATAATAAATAGAAATGACAGATAATGTCAAAACTATTTCGTTCTTACAATGCATTGTCTTGACGCCCTAATACAAATAAACTAAAGTTTTTTTCCGTTTCTCATGAACCAAAACGACCTTCTAAAAATACTTTATTTCTTTCAGATAATTATGATGGAACAATCTTCATTATCCGAAGTAGTATTTGACCATCGCAATGATTTAAGTGATGCTAAGAGTGTTGATTCGTATGTATATTTGAATAGAATAAAATATATATTATTAATAATCAATATTTCCTTTTTGTAGAGCATTTAGTATTGATAGCGTAGGTGGAACAACGCAGGAAGTATTCGAACATGATTTATCATCAATAACAGCAGAGAAATTATTTAATGAATTACAACGTGTAAAAGAAGATCTTAAATCTAAAGATGATGAAGTTCGTCGTGCAAATGAATTACGTGAAAATACCGATCAAGAAATTCAAGAATTGACAGCATCATTATTTGAAGTAAATAAATAAAATTTATTTTGAAAAAAACAAAATTTTATTTTTCTATTATTATTATAGTCAGCACATGCAATGGTTGAACAAGCTAAATATGCTCAAGCAAATGCTGAACAAAAATTACATGTTTCAAATCAAACAGTAAATAGAATTGAAGCAAAAACAAAACATATATTCTTTTTTCTTTAGATTGATGCACTTATACTTGAAAATGTACAATTGAAAAAATCCGTTACTGAATTAAAACAAATTTTAAATTCTTGTCGAAAATCATCTCCAGTATCCAATAATCATAATAGTGTAAATAAAAGTCTTTCCTTTTCTGCTCAGCTAATCGAATAATATATTTTCTTTTTTTTTATAGATTGATAACATGCTACTACGAGAATTTACATGTTGGGATGAGAAACCATCTATTGAAAGAGACGGATCATTATTTATGTATAGAGTTTATAATGAAGATATATTACCATGTGTAACATTTCCTAATGCTGCCGTAAGAGAAAAGATAGTTAATGAATTTCTATAATGAAATTTCTTGTTCTCTATTTATAGCTTTCAACGAGAGTTTTAGAAGCTATCGAAAGAAATGATGTAGTTATGGAAAAGTGTCATTCAACAGAAACTATGAAGTATGTAATTTTTGTTGAAAATAATATTTAAACAATTGCGCCGTTTGTAGAATGTGTTCATTGATGGGTGAAATTTGTGAATGTGATTATCGTGTTCGATTAGATGAAAATAATCAATGGTATCCATTATCACGTTTAGCTCGAAATCGAGTATGTAATTCTTTTCTTTTTTTTTTTTATTATATTTATTTTTTAAAATAGATTGCGTCTATATGTGATTTTTTTACATTTATTCGTCATGTGCAATCTGGTCTTGTTAAAAGTGACAGTAAGAAAAACAAAAAAAAATCTAATAAATTATTTTTATATTAAAATTTTCATTTAGCTCTGACTCGTTTTAATAAAATTATTGAATTACGAAAACAAATGACATTTGCACGTCTTGGATTGTAAATTATATTAAAAAAAAAACATGCATTTATTTAATTAATTAATATTGTATCATATAAATTTATTTTTTTATGAATTTTTGTTGTGACAAAAAGCGAAAAACAAATTTTTTTTTGTCTTCCAATATTTTCTTTGTATTTATTTTTATTTTGTCAGTCTAATTGTCCTTTTTTTCTTTTTGATGTATTCAATGCAATAAAAGATTCTAATTAAAATAAAAAAAAAGACGTGCGTGCGTATTTAAGTGCGTAAAAGAAAGGCAAGAGAGTTTTTTAACAAAAATCACAGTCTGATAGTTTTAATTGTCATGAATGAACCTTACTATAAGAATGTCATGAAGTTTACTATGATAATTTGTATTTCTATTGAGTTCATATTACTAACAAATGAAATTCATTAGAAACATATTCAAAACAAGAAAATGTCTATAGACATCGATTTTGAAGGTAATTATTTATGAATGCAAATATCATGTCTATGGTTAATTGGCACTTAATTGAAAAATATAGTTGATGTTATTTGTCTGTAGATCAAAACTAGACATTCATTTTAAAAAAACAACTCATATAAATTTTCTACATAATTTGAATCATTAAAATGAATGTTCGAGATCTTTTCCAGATGGCAAAACCATGATATTTAAAAGAAAATATTGACAGGACAAACATGTTAAAAATGATATCGAATAGATCATATGTCAATTTGACATATAATATTTAGCTTTTACAAGCTTATTAATTAAATAATACCGTTCGATCAATGTCATAACAAAAATATAGCATAACAAGCTAGAATATGATTCAATCAATCTTGTTTTTTAATATATATTGACAGAAAGCTATAGAGCGAACGTCACTTGTGATGTGATGTGATCTGACAGATGCAAATAGTATACTTCCAATTACATAATTTATTTACGTTACTTTTGTAAATTCGAATTCTTGTTATATTAGAGAAAAGAATGATTCATTCTCGGACAAGAATTAAAATTGTGCTCTTAATCCTCGAACACATTCCAAAAAATACAAGTTACTTTTTTTTGTTTATTTGTGCAAATAACTATTAGACATATATTTCACATTTCGTACATAAACGAATAGATCATTATCTGTTTCTTTTTTATCAACGTTATATATGCTTCTGCATTTATCGATCCGACAGTTTATTGATACACTTTACAATCAACAAGTGACTATATTATTGAGTATAGAGACACATGTGATAAGAAAGCACATGACATATCTGCGAAGTAGTTTTAATGGTGATCTTATATATCAATCAAGTCATAAATAATCTTATAGATGTAATAAATCTAGGGTAGACTTTGATCGTGTAATTCAAATAAATATTTCACTATTGCATAATCATATATTATTCATATTGTTTTTTTTCTCAAGAACTAACTGAAATAATTAAACTTTAATATCAATTCTCATAATATTTAATCAAACTCATCATCAAGTAGAACATTGCTGTTGATAATATATCTCTAAACGGGCTTCTATTGCTAAGCTATCAATGAAATTCTGACAGAAATAATATTTGATAGACCTGTTCGTTACCTATCTTAATCATTAATTAGATTTAAGTTAAACCATGATATTAAATACATCAATATCATATTCACGCAATACTAAAATGATTCTCTCCATAAAGTACGCAACACAAAATATCCTTCCTTTTTTTATAATGAACATGTGTTTTACATCCCTCTTCTTATTTACCTGGAGGAAATACATTTTTTTAAATGATCTAATTATTCCAAATGTATAATAAAATAGGACACGATGACACAAACACATTTTGTAAGAAAAAAACGTATAACTTATTTATGTTAATAAAGATGATGATAGTTTACCAAAACATTAATTTCTTATTGAATCGATGTCACATACATATCACTGTTGAGTCCGAAAGTAGGCGATTTATAAATCTAGCTTGTTTATAAACGTATATTGAATAAATAAAAGGACTATTGTCACGAATTTATAGTAGACATTTAGACAGCTTTGAATTTCTAGGCTTGTCATATCACCAATTTCGACCTGGTTTATAAACATTTTAAATTTTTGTCAAAATCATTTTGGACTCAACAGTGATACATATGCTAAGTGATCTACTTTAACGAATCGACAATTATCATCTGATCAGTCAAGTTTTATACACAAGACTAGATTTTGTGAAAAACTGCTCATAATCCTTCAATTTTGAAATTAACTTTTCCATCGCTGATTGTAATACCAGTGAAGTTATGGTCTCAAGAATCAAAATATAATATTGATCTCGAGACGAATTGCAGTATCACACAATTCGATTGGCTGATATTTATATAATAATTATCTGCTAAAGAATTTCACATGATAAGAAAAGTAAAGTTTTTTATTGTACAAAAATAAGAAAATATCAGACATAAGTTATTACATTCGAAGTTAAGATAGGAAAAAAATATCTGACCAAAAAAAAAAGTCGAAAAATTATCAAATTTATTCCATTTCTTCAGTTAAATTTGTTTCCACTCTTGTTTGACTTTTAATAATTTCAATTTTTTTATCATGTTCAATTAATTTCTCCATTAAACGATCTAATTGTTCTTGTCGATCTATTTTAAAATAAATTAAGAAAAATTAAATCAATAGTTTTTTAATATGTCTCTTACTTGATTCAGCTGTATTTAATTTTTGATTAATTTTTTCTTGTAATAATTGTCGTTCTTCTTCAAGTTTAGCTAAATTTTGTTGAACAACAGCAAGACCTTTTTCAATAGGTGCTTTTGCTTTTTCAACTTTAGCTTGTAGAACACGTTCACGATTTTCTTTAGCTGATTCAAGTTTCTTTTGTAATTTTTCTTCAGTTTGTTTTCGAAATTCTTTAACACAAAAATCAATCTTATCATATATATCTTCTTTTATTTTACAAACCTTCAGCTTGTTGATCTTTAATTTTACTTATTTCACCTGGTCGATTATTTTCGGCAGCAAGTAATGTTGAACGAAGTTGTTCAAGACTAAGTCGACGTTCTTCAGCACGTTTTAATTTTTCAGTTATACTTTCAGGTGTTAATGGTGTGATTAAATCATTTTGATTTGTTTTTCCACTTGGTGAAAGAAAATGTAATGGTGGTTGAATTGTTCCATGACGTGGTGATGATTCAGCTAATTTAACTTCAAATGCAAGACCACCAGATGATTCAGATACATTTGATGATGTATCAGTTATAGTTATTGTTGTTAAACGTTTAGGTGCTATGCGAAGAAACAAAATAATTGATAATTAAAGATTAAGAAACTAAATTTACTTTCCATATTGATAAAATATAAATAAATAATAAAAATCTACAAAAACAAAACAAAAGACAAAAACACAAATTTAGGATTTTTGTAATGGTGGATTATATTCTCTTTCAAAACGTTTAAAGTCTTCTTCAGTAAATATTTCTTCTTCTTTTTCTTTTTTCTTTTTCTCTTGTAATCCTCGTTTTGATGGACCACCAAATCGATAATTATTAAATTGTTCAATTTGATCCGTTGAAACAACTGGTTTTGACATTTTCTTTAATGTAGAACATGTTCGTGCCAATTGTTTTCTATCTTGTATAATTGTTTTCTCATTATTCTGCTTTTTCTTCTTCTTTATAGATATTAATTTGGATTTGGATTTTATATCTTTAGTAGTAGTATCATCATCATCAAGTATTTCTAATGCTTTCTTGACAATTGATTTCGACATATTTTTACTTTGATTATTATAATCTAAAAATTAAAACATATCGGACTATACAAGAAAATATTTAACCAATAGAAATAAAGTAGAAAAAACTTACACAGTAATGCATTTAGAGGTCATTATTAAAATAAATTCTTTCTCTTCGATTGTATATAGTGTAAGTTGTATATTTATTCATTTATAGAAATTACATACATCCGATATGTCGAGTCGTCATTCCCGTAATCTTAGTGCATCACTTTATATTCGTGGACTTGCTGAAAAAGTCCGGTAAGTTTATTTAAATATTTTTGTTTTTTTGATATTTTTATTAACGTTTTGTTGGTATTTGATGAGAGAATCGAAAATAATTCTATTCCTAAGAATAAATAGATCGAAACTAAACCGCATGGCTTTGTGTTTTCTATTATTTTTCTCATTTATTTTCTTTTCTCTTTCATAAGGTGTGTTACAAACGTGATCAAACAAAAAAATAAAAATCACATACACACATTCACATACAGTCCCATTCTTTTTATTCAATAATATTCAAGCAATTGATTATATACTACCAAAATTCTAAATAATTGATCAAGCAATTTCAAAAACAGAAAGATTTTTTTTTATAAATTCCCATACAAATACAAAAGAACAGACAAATTTCAACTAGGAGATCCATTTCAGTTCAAAGTGGTGATGATATACCAGACAGCATCAGCAGTATACAAAACAAAATACAAGCAGTAGACGTATGCATCATATCATAGCTTTTCCGCGCCTTTATATTACGTATATTGTTCTTTTTTTGACTAAGTATACTGATAAAAAATTATTCGAGATAGATAATAAGAGGATGGGTTGCTATTAAGTGTAATCTAAGTAAATAAGTAATTATATTTAAGTAAGCCGAGTTCACAGAATATAGAAATAATTCTCTAGCGTTTTTGTTGGTATATATATATCATTATAGTATAAATCCTAACTAGACTAATATAACAATTTGCTGCTCTATGAGTTAAAATTTCCAATAGATAATTGTTTTTTTGAAAAGAAAGTCATTTTACAATTGATCATAAATTCTGGCTTTTCTATACTCATAATTGGTTCAAAGATATGAATAAATTCAAATTTCATTTAGTTATGAAGATTTAAAGAAAATATTTGGACGATATGGCCGTATTGTTGATATAACACTTCCATTAGATTATTATACACGAGATGCTAAAGGATATGGTTTCGTTGAATATGAAGAAAGTCGTGATGCTGGTAAGTTAATATATTTATAATTGAAAAACATAAATAAAATTTATATTGTAGAAGAAGCACTCCATGCACTTGATCGTTATCGATTATTAGGTCGAGAACTTGAAGTTGAATTTGCTCGAGGTGATCGTAAAAGTAAGTTTCATGTTATATTTATTATGATAATATATAAATATTATTTTTAGCACCATCGGAAATGCGATCTCGAGAAAAAGAAGCAAGACATAGTGGTAGTCGTGGCGGCGGTGGTGGTGGTGAATTCGGCCGACGCGATCGATCACGAAGGTAAATTATTTTGGAGTAAATCTTTTCAAATTTCTATATTTATTTTATTATTATATAGTCGTGATCGTCGTCAACGAAGTGGTTCACCGGTTGGAAGAGATCGACGCCGAGGTGGAACTCGATCACGTTCACCATATTCACGTTCACCTGTACCACGACGGTAAGTAAATCGTCGGTGATGAATACATATAGTTGCTACTCTCGACCTTTTAAGGAATGACGAATTAACTATTCCACTAAGATCTCTGAGACGATTTAATGAATTTTTTTTCTTTATATTTTCAGAGGTGGTGGTGGTGCAGCTGCTGGAAGTCGTTCACGTTCAAAATCGAATTCACCATCTTATGGTAAACGTAATGGTGCAGGCGGCGGTAGTACCAGTGGTGGTGCTCGTCGTATAAGTCGATCAAGATCACCACCAGATAATTAAGTACATGACTTAATTTGAAAAATAAATTTTTCGAAGAAGTTGATTTTTGTTTTGTTTTCAAATCTGTGTTTGTGTATCTCATATGTGTTTTGTCATTAAACAAGAAAAAAAGACAACAAATATATACTTTGTTTGTTTCTTGTGTATTCTAATCGACTTTTCTTCTGTCTTTTCTTTTTGTTTTCTTCTTCTTCTTCGTCGTCATTGTTGTTTATTTGATTATTTACACAACATGCACATTTATCATCTTTTTCGTTTGTTCATATTATCTAACGTTTTGATGAAAACAAAAAGAACGAAAACGAGTTTTGTCGTTTACCTATTGTGTATGCACATTTTTTTGATCGTATAATAAAAATATTTGAAAAGACATTATCAATTAATTTTTCAAAAAATCAATCACAAATAAAGTTATGCTGATACATTCACAACTAGTTTTCCTTTCATGTCTGGACGATTAAAATCTTTGATCAAATTATCGGCCGCTTCTTCTAATGTATAACATTTTATTTCACCTTGTATTTCATGATCCACTACAAATTTTACCATTCGTTGAGCACATTCAATATCGCCTAATAGACTACCTTTTATAGTTATATCACGCATAATTATATTAATAACATTTATTGGTACAGGTTCTCGTGGTATTCCAACAGCTATCATAGTACCATGTTTTCTTGTAATAGTTAATGCATAAGTATATGCTTTAACAGGCTCAGTCATAATAATTGTTGCATCAACACCTGTATATACATCTTTTGTTGATGATTGAAGTGTTTTAATTTGTTCAATTGCATTTTCTTCATTGATTTTACTTGAATCAATAATTAAATCAGGTGTATGTTTTAATTTTTGAACAACATCTAATGCTTCTTGACGATTATCGATAGCAACAACTTTCAAGCCCATACATTTAGCAAATTGAACAGCTAAATGCCCTAATGCTCCAAGACCAATTATTCCTATAACTTGACCTTTTTTTAATGCACATTTTTCGATGGCACTGAAAGCAGTTAAACCTGCGCACATTAATGGTGCAGCGTCTTGAAATGATAATTCATCCGGTAGTGGTACAAGCCAACGTGAATCAGCTTTTTGATACTCAGCAAAAGCACCATCTATGGAAACACCAGTTCCATCATAGTTTTCACAGTATATATTGTTATCATTTAAACAATCAGGACAATTGGCACATGCATTGTAGAAATTTATTGCACCTACTCGATCACCAATTTTATACTCATCACTAACTTTTTTACCCATTGCAACAATAATACCAGCTGGTTCATGTGATGGTATTAATGGTAATTGTTTTGGCTTCGGTCTAGCTAGTCCGTCACGTATAAGCAATTCTGTATGACAGAAACCAGCACTTTTGATTGCAATTAAAACATCATAATCACCTAAATCTAATGGTACAGGAACATCATGATCTAAACGATAGTCACTACCAAATTCATGTAAACGTAGAGCTTTCATCGTTTTAGGTATATTCGAAACGTTCGACATCCTTGATATGAAAAAAATAAAGTATCACTAAAACTATCTAACCTTACCTTTTTTGTTTGTTTTACTGATAAACACTTTGTATGGTTAGTCAATAAATGATCCAGTCAGCATCAAGTAAACATAAGTTTATCTAGGTAAGTCAATTTATCTTTATACTATCAACGTTAGTATGAAAACTAGAGACGTATTTAGTGGGGAGAGGGAAGCGTAACGTCTCTCTGCTTTTGAAATTCACTTGTGTATGAATGTGGGTGTAGGCAACGGTGCAGAATTTCCTAAAAAATCAAAAAATTCCCAACTTAAACTTCGAAAACTTCCCAACAATTTTCAGAAATTTCCCCGAAAAACGTAATTTTTCAAAAATTTCCCTTCCCACGCGGGGGCGCACGTGGAAGATTCTGCATCTCTGGTGTGGGTGAGGATGTGGATGTAGGTATCACATCCAACAAAAAGATTAAAACTATATATCTATGTTCTTTCAATTCATACATCAACATAGCCTTTAAATGATCATCACTCAACAAATGAATAAAATTAGTTACTAATAAGTACAATTTAATTTGCGTAGAAAAATAAAATAACAAACAAACAAACAAACAAATAAATAAATAAAATGAAAGCAATAGTTTTATGTTTCTTTTTGGTTTTCTGGACGTTCTTGAGCCATATATAGTTTATGATAAATGCCATGTTCTTGAAGTAATTGTTCATGACGACCGCTTTCTTTAATTTGTCCACGATCGACAACACAAATTTTATCTGAATTTCGAATTGTTGGTAAACGATGAGCAATTGTTAGACATGATCGACCTGTTCGTGCTTGATCTAATGCATCTTGAACAACTTTTTCACTCTTATTATCTAATGCTGATGTTGCTTCATCAAGAAGAAGAATTTTTGGATTACGAATTAAAGCTCGAGCAATAGCAACTATAATAGATTTACATATAAATATATATCTATACATTCTATTCAAGAAAGTACTAACTTCGTTGTTTTTGTCCACCAGATAATTGACCACCTTTAGCTCCACATGATGTATTATATCCCTAAAAGATATATTTTATAAAAACAAAAATCTATATTAATAATTTTTTAACAAACCTCAGGTAATGATGCAATTAATTCATGAATATTTGCTTTTTTAGCTGCTGCTTCAATATCTTCTTGTGTTGCTGCTCGTGTATTATCTCCATATGCAATATTATCACGAACAGAAAGATTAAAAAGAACTGGTTCTTGTTGTACAAGACCAAGTAATGATCGTAACCATTGAATATTCAATGTTTTTACATCATGTCCATCAAGAAGTACCGTACCACCAAGTGGATCATAAAATCTTTGTATTAATGCAACACTTGTTGATTTTCCACTACCCGATGGACCAACGAGAGCAGTTGTTTCACCTTCAGTACAGACTAAATTGAAATGACGTAATATACGAAGTTTTGGCCGAGCTGGATAACGAAATCGAACATCACGAAATTCAATATTTCCAGATATAGATGACTAAAATAAAAAGAAATTAATGAATAAATATTTCTAAGAAAGAAAACAAAATTCTTTTACAAGTTTAATGCCAGATGGATCATCAGGATCAATTTTTGATTGACGTTTATTTAAATCAAATATACGTGAAGCACTTGCTTTACCCTTTGAATAATTTGGTACCATAGATGCACTACGTCCTATAGACATTGCAGCAAAAGTAACAACAGTAAATACTCGAAAAACATCTGCGAATTGCATATCACCACTTTTAATAAGTGTAATACCATAACCAAATGCCGTTGCATGAACTATATAATATTAAAATAGAAACTATTATTTCTATAAAAACAATTTCTTACTAAAAAACATCAATGAATTTGCAAGAGCATTAGCAAAAGCTACATAATGAAGTGTTAACATACGACGTCTAAAATTTTAAATAATAAAAATAATTTATTATCTAGGAGATTTTTCATTTTAAAATATGTACCGAAAATCACTATCAAATGCTTTTTTATATAATCGAATAAAACGTTCTTCTTGATGAAGTGATACAACTGTACGAATATTTTCAATAGCTTGTGTTGCTTGCTAAAAATAGATTTATTATTAATAGATCTATTTTTTAAATAAACAAACAAACAAACATACTTTTCCTCCATCTTCAGCATCATTTGATGCTGAACTCTTGTTTCCAGATGCTTTAGACATTTGTTGACCTTGAATAATACCGGTAAAAATCATTAATGGAGTAAAACAAAGAATAACTAATGTAAGTTTCCATCCAGCTATAAAACTAATTATAAGAGCTGTAACAACTGCTCCTACTGCATTGAGTATAGCACCAAATGTAGGTCCAGTAAATCCTTTAAGTGAAGCTGCATCTGATGAAAGTCGTGTTACTAATGCTCCCAAATTATTTTCATCAACATCAAACCATCCAATTTCTTGTCGAAGCATACTTCTGAATGACATAATTCTCATACGCATTGTTAATTCTTCTCCTGCTTTAGCTAATGTCACAGATGATAGGAATTGAAATATTCCACCAGCAACACCAACTAAGAAAAGTATATAAGTATACATTCGTATTTCATCTGTTTGTTTTTGTTGATCTGTTTCAGCAAGTGCACCAAAAATATTCGAAAATATCAGAGAAAATGCCTAAAATAAATTATTAGAATTAGATAAACAATCGAATATATACATACTGGTGTAACAGCGCCATAACCAAGTGAAGCAATTCCACCAATTACAAGATAAAACCATTCAGGTGCATTTAATCGCATAACTTGAAATATAATTGGCATACGAAATCCTGATTGTTTTTCTTCATCCTTAACTAGATTAGCATCATTTCCTGATTCACTTGTTTCTGATGTTACAGATTTAGCTGAAACAATAGATGCACGTCTTAATGCCGTTGAAATCTGACGAGATAGACGACGTGATTTAGGTTTCGTTGGTGCAATAGCTTGTTTAGCTAATTCTTCTTCAAGTTCATCTTCTGGATCATTTTCATTTTCAAGTTCTTTTTCTTTTTCCTTTTCACTTTGAGCAGTAACTAATTCATAATAAAGTCCTTTATTTTGCATTAATTCATCATGTGTACCACATTCAACAACTTGTCCACGATCTAAACCAACAATAATATCAGCATTCTTTATTGTACTTAAACGATGTGCTATCACAATTGTTGTTCGTCCTTCTTTAGCCTTATCTAATGCATCTTGAACTACTTTTTCACCTTGATTATCTAGATAGAGAAAGAAAAAAACTAATTATTGAGATATGTAATTATATTATTCAATGAAATACCTAAAGCTGATGTTGCTTCGTCAAGTAATAAAAGTTTTGGATTAGAAATTAAAGCTCGAGCAATAGCAACTAAAAATAAAATAATAAATTTTATTCAAAAATTCTTAAAATTATTTTACCTCGTTGTTTTTGACCACCACTTAACTTATCTCCTGAAGATGTTTTATAATTCTAGAAGAACGAATAGAAAAAAATAACTATTTTATCTTTATTTTATTTAAAATTTTACTTGTGGTAATTGCATAATAAAATCATGTGCATTAGCCATTTTTGCAGCATTCATAACTTCATCATCTGTTGCATCGGGTTTTCCAAATCGAATATTTTCTTCAATTGTACCAAAAAATAGAACTGGTTCTTGAGAAACAATACCAATATTTGATCGTAACCATTTTAAACTAATTGAACGTAAATTTCGACCATCTAATAAAACTTCACCTCCATCTGGATCATAAAATCGTTGAATTAATTGAATTGATGTACTTTTACCACAACCAGATGATCCACAAAGTGCAACAGTTTTTCCCGATGGTATTTTCATATTTAAATTATTAAGAATCTATTTAATACGAAGAAATTCTAAATTATTATTCTAAAACTTTTCAATAATTTCTTACAGGTGCATCTTTTCGTGCTGGATAAGTAAATTGAACATTTTTAAATTCAATATCACCTGTAAACTCTGGTGGAGTTTCTCCTTCATCACTAAATATATTTATTTTTGATTGACGGTCAATAACTTGAAAGACATATGCACCAGAACCGGATGCTTCAGCAAATGATTGTATATTTGGTATTAAATTTGCTAATGAAAATGTTGATGTTAAACAAGAAATAAATATCTAAATGAAAAATTTCAGAATAATAAATTTAAAAAACAAAATTTTGTTTTCTTTTATCGATACATACAACCATAAATTGACCAGCTGAATAATGATCACATTCAGTACGAATTAAATATGGTCCATACCAAAAGACAATTGCAATACCACCATATAAAATAACATTAACCATTGCTTGTGCTAATCCTAATAACGCACCTTTTTTAATCCCAACACTTCGACCTTTAGTAAGATTTGATTCATACCTATATTTAAAAAAATTAATTAAATTTTTGAATTATAAAAATCATGTAGGTTTATTAAAGGAAAATGCAATGCTAAATATAGAGAATTTTTTAAAACTGCGTAATAGATTGTTCTCCAATGATGAAAATAAGAGAATTATTTTCCTTTTAAATTTTTACATTACTTTTTTTTATAAAAGAAATAACACAGGTAAAATGGTGCATTCTATCTCAATTTCATACATCATACAAATACACTAATAAAGAAATGGAAGAACAGATGTTTTTTTATTTACCGATTTGATTCTTTACTTTGTCCACCAAATGCTGTCACTGTTCTTATTGCACCTAAAACTTCTTGTGCAATTGAATTTGCTGTACTATATGCTTGTAATTCCATAACAGTGTATTTAATCATAATCTAAATGAAAATTAATAATAAATTATAAATCGAATATTATTCTATTTTCATTTACTTTAATTAAAATATTAAATGAAAGAATAATCAATGGTGAAACCGAAAGAAATACAAGTGTTAATTTCCAACCTTCATAAAATGAGAATACCAATGTACCAATTATTCGAGATAGAAGACAGATAAAATCAGCAACTTTAAAACCAGTACCTTCACGAATATTTTCAAGATCATCAACAAGACGACTAGATAATTCACCTATATTATTTGATATATGAAAGACAAACAAAATATTTTAATTTCAAATAACAAACCTGCATTTCGACAATCAAACCAACCCATTTCTTGACTCATAATACTTTGAAAAAGTGCATATCGTATTCGACGTAATTGTCTTTCTGATGCAATCATCTAGATTTTGAAATTGAATTTTAATTTATATATATATATATTGAATTGAAATAGTTTACCCATAAAGCATACGCTATCCAATACATAACAATGCTCGAACCACCTAACGTTGCATACCATTTAATTATACCTTCAATTGTTGCAAAAGGATCACCAGTCGAACCCGCAGCAACCTCACTAAATTAATAAAATATGATTTAAATCAATATTATTTTTATATATATACCAATTAGCACTAGTAGTAGCATTTCCTTTGCCTATAGTAACTAAACCATTTATAACACTTTGAAATAACCACATCATTATAGGCATTGCTGCTCCTGTTGCTAAAGCTAAATTGAAAGAAAAAAAAAGTCAAAAATAGAAAAACAAGTCGATTTAAATATTTCAAATTTACCTGCGATTGTACCCAGAACCATTAAAAAAATATCCAATTTATCAGCATATTTATACTAAAAGAACAATAACATCAGTATGACATTATTTATCTAGTTATAATACATACAATTTCAAATGTTTTCAATTTCGGTCCTTCTGGTTTTTTTGGTGCTGGTGGCTCCTTCTTTTTCGATTCTTTTTTAAATAGTCTATAGAGAAAACCTTTTTTTGCAACTTCTTGTGTTGGTTCTACTGGATCATTCGGTACCATAACAAGTGTATTATCAATTTCAGCTTTACTAAGTCTTTTAGCTGTCTCTTCATCCATAGGACTAACTTTACCATTTGCTTTGGCACTGCCATTTAATCCTGGCATGTTTTAATAGAAAAAAATGCTTCTTTTTCAAAAGAAAATTAAAAAACAAGTAGTTGAGCTTCAGTTTTATAGTGACACTTTTACATCATTTTTTTCTCGTTCTTCTTTTTAACCGTAACGCACGTTCGCGTATGGCAACGAACGGTTTTGTTCTGGGAGTACGCGAGGGTACGGCAAAGACACCTTTGTTCATAATGACGTTGCTTTTCATCATACGAGCTATTTATGGGAAGAATTGCAGAAAAAAAAATTTTTTTTACAAGCATAATGTTTTTTAAAAGCAACACACTTTGGGTATTATTCAGCGCAACAGAGTATAAAAAAACAGAAAAATACAAGCATCCATTCTGTTGTCATAAGTAGCATTTTCTATTGATAAATAATATAACTTGTCAAGAGTTTTACAATTTAATATATGAAACGACATTTGCGTATAGAGAAGTTTATTGTCGTCCGTGACCTGTAATTATAGAAACTTTAAGTTTAAATACTTTTTTGACAAGTGTTCGTAATAGAAATACGAATATATTTGATGATATAAATGAATACACGTGAAAGGAATTTACTTTGTAAACAATCTGCAGAAAGGTATTTGTAAAAAAGTACTCAGGTTAAATAAAGTACTAGTTTTTTTCTTTCTCTTGTCGATGCACTGGCAGTAGAAAAAATCTTATTGAAGTTTAGTCAACCGACGTAAACAACATTATTATCAGTTTGAGGAATTCATTGATTTAATTTTATATCATCTCGCGTTACTTATAATAACTTCTATTTTAAGAAACATGACGAAGGAAATCTATACATAAGTTATTTACAAAAATTCATGAAATAAACATCAACGGAATTGTGTTTTGTTTTTTGGTTTAAGTTCCTGTTCACTTCAATAGTTCTTTATGTGTACTCATACCAAGTTGTCATTTTTGTAAGTAAGGACTATAATTTATTTTTCAAGAGATTCTTCATTTGTTTCAAATTTTTAATTGTACAGTCGAATTTCTCTATTTTGATATAGTAAACAAATCAATATTAAGTAAAAAATTCTAAATGATAATTAGCGAACTCTAACGACTATTTAGTATTACATTAAATATCTGTCTTTATATTAAAATATTTTAATAAAGATAGAATAAAATTTTCTACGCAAGAAATTAGTAATAAGTTTCCACTACATCACTTTGAAAATTTACTTTCCCGGAAATTAAACTGAAAAACAAGGTTACATAATCACCATAGTGACAAATGCATCTAGACAGCCATGTGAGTATATTTATACTATTAAAAATTAACAGAAATAGAAACAGATCTTTCATTCTTCTAATTTTTTAAAGCATATATATGCTTCGTTGACCTATGATATCTGTAAATATTTCTTTTAATTTCTTAGTAGTAATTATTTTATTTCATAAGATAAAGAAATAATGATAAACAATTATTGAATAAAGTTTTCAATTAGGCACTTATTATAAATTTCATTAATTTGAACCAGTAAAACGTTTGAAACGAGCAATATAATTTGATGGACGATGTTCAAGAAGCCACATACCAGCGGATGATGTTGGATTACGATAAGCATAACCATATGTAACAGCAAGTGTAACAAGAGAAAGAATAAGAACAGATAATAAAAGTGTAACAACAATTGTACGAAATGTTGAATAATGTCGAGATGGTGCAGTCAAAGATTCTTTTCGATTTTCAAAATGAATTATGGGTGGTGATGATGATGGAAAATGAGTGTCATCATCGATATCTTCCATACTATTTGAACATGTATTATCAGATGCTAAGCGATGACATTGTGATCGAATCCATTGTTGACGTGAACGATCATAACCATCAGAACATTTTTGTATATCATTACACCATGAACAATTATATCGTTTACCACGATTAGCCAAACATGATGCACAATCAGTAAATGTATTACAAGCTAAAAATAAATAATTAGAAAATAATGATTTCTGTTTCTCTATTCGTTTAGTAACACAGATCGACAATCGAGTAAATGAATGTAACTAGATCATATATCGGATTCTCTATTGATGAGATGAATATAGCCTACAAAATTATTATGCCTGGAGTCTCTTCCTTAGTTCTACGTACAAACCATTTTTGAAAGATCATATTGTTCCGTAAGATAATAATTATAGGAAATTATATGTCATAGTAAGATTCTACATCTTATTTCTTTCCATTATAACGTGTTCTTCCTACTTATTCAGAGTAAAAAACAATTATTCTAAAATTATAGTCATTAATAAATTTGCATCAAAGATAATCATTACAAGTGCATTCAGGTATATGAAAACTGCCGTCTTTTCGCTTTTTAATCAAGTCTTACAAAGAGATCCGTCATAGTCACATCCTACTAATAGTTAGTTTGAATATATATATCATACACATAGTCTCGAATTATTCCATGAAAAACTAAACACTTACTTTGATCCATATCAAAAACAATTGAAACTCCATTATGAATTTTTTCTTTATCTAAATTAATTTTATCATAAAGTGTTATAACTCGTACAATATGTTCATTAGTTGAATGTTGTGATAAATATGCATCCGAAAGACCAATACGATGAGCATGATTTGAACTCGAAATTTTTACATTTGGTATTTGTAAATAATTAAAATAAATATTTCCTAATTAAATACAAACATAAATACATATATACGTGTACTTAAAATAGAAGTAATATAACAAACCAGTATTTTGTAAAATAGCTTGAAATGTAAATGGACCAGCATCTTGCTGATCTTGTAAATAAACTTTAGTCCATGTACATACAAAATGTGTACCATTATCATAATAACTTATTTCAGTTTCATTATCACCAAGTGACGCATCAAAATTTGCCATAAATGGTGCAATGCTATCAGTAAAAAACAACCAATTAGATATAATATTAGAGTATTAAACTTACTATTGTGTACTACCAATTAATGCCGAATGAAGTAGATCACCCGTATAAATAAAACCTACAAAGTAGAATATATATTTTAGATTATTCTATTAAGAAGAAAATCATGATAATTAAAAGCGTCAGTGAATAAAATCGAGAAATGGGTTTTTCAGCAAAGAAATATCATCAATAAAAGCAAAAATAATAGACAAACAATATTAACTGTCACCATCACTTACAAGAACTTTATATTTCTTCTATCAATGTATTGTAAAATAAATTAAATAATATTTACTAAAAATCTAAGACAGAAAAAATTACCTCCAGTAGCAACCAAAATTTTATATATAACATGACCATAAAACGGAAAACCAAATTTTAAACCAATTCCCTATAAATTTTGTTTCATAATATAAATAAAATAAAGTTAGATATATTTTAACATACAAATGCTGATCGATGTCGATTTGAAAGTGCATGAATACGAATAAATTGATCATTATCATGTACAAAATTCATTGGTATACCTTCCGTATTTCGAACAACATATGAAACATTATAATAATGATGATCATTCTATAGTAAAGAAAATAAAAATGAATCAAAAAATATTATCGAAATATAAACATACAATATAAACAGTTTGTTCTGAAGTATTAAATAGACTTTTATTTGAATCAAGAAATTTAAAATCATTAGTTTCATCAATATAAGCAAAGTGTGATGATAATATTGTTGAAGGTGTAGATAATATACCTTCAACACTTGGCATATGTATTTCATCTTTACTTTTCATAGTAACGGAACTTATTATTGTATCTTTCGATGCTAAAATTTAATAACGAAAAAAGTTCAATTTATTTTTATTGCAAAATAAGTCTTACGTGGACATGAATAATTCTCAAGAAATATTTGAACTTGTTTGACATTTATTGGACATTGATATTGAACTTCTTTTTTCACTTCATTCATAAAGTCTGATATAGTACTAAAAAAAGAAAAGATTAATTTAACAAATGAAAAACTATGCTCTGCTAGTCAGTAATTGATCTTTCTAGGGTATAGTTTTTGTTAAATAAAAAGAAAACTTACTGGCAATAATTATCATCTTTATTATGAGACCAATATGTAAATAATTTTTTCGTAATGATTGATCGTTTTTCATGTGGACATAATTGATGTTGATCATCGATATTACATTTATCAATACCAAGTAAACGAAGTAAATTAAGAATTAAACTTCCATATGATTTAACACTTAATGGACAATGAAGCGAATCAAAACATGATGAAAAAGCTCTAAAAAAATATTAAGTTATATATATATGAGGGAGTAAGGCATGTTATTTGAGTTTACTTGCAATCTTTTATATCTAAACATTGAAATAATTTAACATAAACATTTTGTCCACATGAAATTTGATCTTTATCAATTTCAGGATAGAACCAAGATGATTGATCACGTTTTAATCGAGCATTTGTTGAAATAATTTTATATGGTTCTTGATATTGATAAGATAAATCATTCATTAATATAATATCTTCATTATTTCCATTTGATTTATTTAATAAAAATATTAAATAAATAAATATTTGAACGAAATACTTCATTCTATTTATCTATAAATCCAATTTAGATATAAGATAAACTATCTATCTAATCTTTTGCATACACGACTAACGAATAAAATAACAAAAAAAAAAGAAAAAAGAATTGTGTATGTTTTTATTCAATGTGAAAGAGAACGAAAAAGAAAGAGAAGAAAATGAAATAGCTATACACGAGGTCACCTGTATACTTTCCTGACTGAATCAATGTAGGTATAACGAATGTCTCATTGATTATGTACGTGACGTTTGTCGTTCGTTCTTCTCTTTTTCTTAACGAAAAACGATTAATTGATCATTATCATAAGAGAAAACTAATCCTCACGACTATATTCTTGTTCCTTTATTTTTGTTTTTCTTTCTCGTCAATAACATTCATCTAAACATGGCCGTGAATGGTAATGATACATCAACTGATGATCGTTTAAAACAAGCATATGAAGTTTTATCTAAACGAAATCATAATCGTGCATTAGGTCTTAAAGATGCTGGAATTTGTATACGTGCAGCAGGTTATAGTCCATCAAATAATGAACTTAAAAAAATAATTGATACAAAATTAGGTACAACTTATTCTCATCAATTATTTGATTTAAAAACAATTGAAGATTTATGTACTGGTTTAAAGAAACGTTCGGAAAGAGATGTACATGATAGTTTACGTTGTTTTGATTATGAACGTAATGGTTTTATATCTGCTCAAGAATTAAAATATTTCTTAGGTACACGTGGAGAAAAATTAAGTGAAGAAGAAATTGATGAAATGTTACGTGATTTGGATATTGATCAACAAGGAATGTTATCTATTGAACAAGCATTATCATTATTTTTTGTTGGAGATTATACCGAATAAGAAAACATTTTATTATTATTATTATCTAGAAAAAAAAGAAAATAAACAAAAATACATGAGACTTCTTTTTTTTTCGTTTTTTTAAAAAGCTGCTAATTCTTTTCGTCTTTTTCTTCTTATACCATCATCAAGTGTTAATAAAGTAAGAAATGAAAAAAATAAACTAAATGATGATAATAAATGCCATATATCGTGTACATCATATGTATGTAATAATATACATGGACGATTACGCATACGTGATATAGCTGGTTGTACTTCATAACTTTTAACTTCTTGATAGAAAAAATATAATGATGATGACCAAAAAAATGTTGCTAATAGAAGAAATAGAATTGAAAAACGTGTAAAATGTTCACGATGAATTATTTTCATTAAAATATAATATAATAAATAAATAGCTAAATTACCAAGAAATACAAATAAAAGATGATTTGGAAATGATTCAGGTTGTACAATTGCACCATAAAGTGCAAATGCTATGTTTATACAATTAGCTGGAATTAAAATCATCATACGATTTAAATAACGTGGACGAGATAAAATACCATTTTCTTTTACAAGATGATATAAATGAACCTAAAGAAAATTATTGTAATTAATAGAGTTCAACAGAATACTAGAAATTTATTGTATTGTCTAGTAATTCACTATAGAACTAGAGCAGGATTAGTGAATGAATATTGAGGTTATTAACATGATAGCATTTACATAATATCTCAAGAGCAAACATCTTTTAATTCATATGTGAAGACATTTAGCCTTACTCTTGAATCTAATAGTGTATTATGAATGTCATCTGGTGGATAAGTGTTAGTAACACATCTACAAGCGACCTATGTAGTAAAGAGTAGGGCAAGGATAAATAATAAAAGTTACGTTTGCCTAGAATTATACTAACGTAAGATATTTATATATATGTAATAGGAGTAATGTGACTAAACCTGAGGCCATATGCTATATAAATGAAAGCCTTGTAATTAAAATAACAGACTCATGCTCTCCGATCATAGTCATTGTATTAGGGTTTTCATCCGATAAAATTCTTAATCACAGAACTCATTGTTCTAATAGTATTCTTTTAAATGAAGTAAGCGAGGTCTGCCTAAGATATGAAATACTACAAAAATAGATTGCGTTCCTAAATGTTGTGAGTATATGTCAAAATGATCTCTAATATAAAGGTGTAGTCAGATTGCGCTTTTTCAAATTGAGTCAGAACTCACAACGACTAAAAGGATATAATAACGGGTGAATATCTATTGTAGTTAAGTCGTACTTTCGCGAAAAAAAACCCAGTTTACCCTTGTAGTGCTAATCATTTCATTATAATTCAATCCTAATGGCATTCATATATAGGATAATATTCTCCCCAAATTTCAATGAGCTAAGGCAATCTTCGCTATACATCTCGTTTAATTAAACATATATAGCAAATAAATTCGAGTAACTTACATGTACACGAAAAGTAACTTTTAATCTTCCCATATAATAAATTTTTCCTGTAAATGCTAAACAAGATAAAATATGTATAACTGCATATGTTATCCAAAACCATTGTTCATCGTAATACTATTCAAAAATAAACTTCTTAGAAAAAAATATTTTGTTACTTTAAACTTACAACTCCAATAACAGTGACAAGAATAATAACAGCTAGAAATGAAAATGAACCAGCTGAACGTGGATTTATATCTGGATGTCTTGTTTGATAAATTTTGATTATATTTAAAACAGCTACAATAAACATAAAACTTGTATCAAATTGAAAATTTTGTTTTGATGGACAAATATGATAACTAAATAAAAACTATTGATTTAAAACAAAAAAATTTCATTTCACTTTTTTTATTTACCATGCACTCATAACTCCTTCCATAAATAATCCAATACCCATTGCATAAAATAAACCAAAATGTTGTGGAATACCATATTCCTAATAAGAAAATAAAAATTTTAAATTAATTATTCTTTTGCAAAAAATATTCATACTTTTCCAATTGCAGGATATTTTGCAAGAAATCGAGCATATGCCATATCTCTACAAAAGAAATAATAATCATAAATTTTTATTTCATTTATCTTTTACCTTCGATAAACAATAATTAAAAAAAGTAAACCAAGTGCACAATAACCAATATTCGAAAAAACATTATTAAATGCTGTTAACATCGCAAATTGTCTTGTACATAAAAAATTAAAATAACATATATCTTCATTTCCAGATGCATCAATATTAAGTTGAAATTGTAGAACAAGTTGAATAACAGGTAAAGTATAAAATATAGCTATTGTTAACATTGTTTGAGGATAAATACGAAATTTTTGTTTTAAATAATCATAATCTTTAACACATAGATCACTAACAGTAACAAAACCAGCCTAAAAATATAGATAAGTCAAAATTCTGTGTTTCCATTCTAATATGATCTACTATTACAGTGCAACGTCTAAAAAAGAATGCTCCTTGAAAAAGACATTCTCTTATGACAACATGGCATATTGTATCAATATATAAATAAACTTTGTAATCAATACAAATAAATAGAAAAGGGTTATAGTATTCTCGTAAGACTCAATGGCATAGTTCATGGGTGGGAAAAAAAAGGAGACAATCATATTCCTATAAACGATGGAATTTCAATTTTGTGAGTCATATAATATGATAATCAACTTCTTTATATTTAATGGTGAACTATTTAATTAAACTTACATTCGATGTTTCAATAACTTCAACATCAGCTGAATTTTCTAATTCATTTCCAGTTGCTGCTGATTCTACATTTTCTTCACCTTCAGCTGTTTGATAACGAAATTCATTATCCCTTCGTTCTATTTAATAAATAAAAATATTTCTTCAATTAACTCTCCATCTTTCTTACCCGCGATTTCGCGTTCGGCTTTTGCTTCCAAGAATGCTAAAAATCGAAGAGCGTATTTTTACAAGTAACAAAAATTTTCAAAAACATACGTAATTGTTCTGGAGCTAAATGATCACTAAAACGAAATTTTTTAATAAATTTAATTAAAATATAATCAAAATCATCTTACTAAATATCTGGATGTTTACACATAATACCAAAGGCCATAAAATAAATAAAAAGAAACAATCCAATTGTTGAAAATATTGCGATGTAAAGAAAATTATCTAAACAAAAACAAAATCAACTGATAACAAAAGAAAATATTTTCTTTTTTTACAATTTGCTGGTGGTTGTAATGTAACAGTTGCATTTTTTCTTCGTTGAACATCAACAATACCAGATGGTCGAATCATTGTTTGTTCCTGATCATTTAAACAATCAGCATCAGTTGGTTTAACAAGAAAAACTAGAAGAAATGTATTGCGTTTTGGAAATTCACTGGCCTAAAATTATATTTTAAAATGAAAATCAAATTTGTTTTTTAAATTACATAAACATTAAATGAGGCAATCGATGCCATTGTTTGATAATGTCCTTGTCGTGTACCAATTTCACTAACATCATAAACTGGACAATCAAATGATTGTACTGATACAACGGTACATAATTGATCTGGTGATCGAACATCAATAAAAACATTTTCAATATCAGGTGGAAATGTAAATTTATAATAAACAGGCATAGCTGGTGAAACAAAAAATTGTTGACTTATACCAGTTCTAAATATTTCAAGAATAAGTAATTAGTAAGAAAAATTATTTTCTTCTTACTGAAGTATAAATTGAGTTATATTTTCAAGTTGAACTGAATAATTAATTAAATCATTATTTGATGTTGATATTTCAATAAATACTCGACTTATATGTGCACGTGTACGATTTATTTCATTTTGTAAACAAAGAATACGTGAAGCACTTGAATAAATCATTCTAAAGCAAAAAATATATATTTAACAAAAACAAATTCAAAAAGAATTGTCTCATATTACCCATTAGTAAATGTATATGGTAACGTCCATGAAATAACACCACGAATTTGTCGAACGACAATTAAAAGTGGAGATTCTTGTTCAGTTTTATATGTCATATTCGTTATTACACGAATAGCCTAAAAAAAGACAGGTTTTTAGAAAACTAATTTACAAGTATCTTTGATTTGCAGTATCGAAATCATAAGATTAAATTCACAAAATTGAGCAGCTAACAAGGGAACCGCACGAAGTGATTCAACGATTTCGAGTTGGGACTATTTGTAACCTAAAACTAGGACCTATATCTGTTCAATGTTTCCAGTCAAATCACTTCGGGTGGTTCCCTCGTAAGTTTTACAAATAAATAAGTCAATTCATCATAACACAACTACACAATTGACTTTGATCTGACTTGTGTGAACAAAGTAGTTTATTCATCTATTTCTGGTACAAAAAGATAATTCCCTTGAATACAAGACAAAATGTCCTATCAATGAAATTACACGTTTGATTTTTTTCGAATTGAAAATTTAATAGACAATCCTATTCTCTAATTCAATGTCTGTAATTATTCACACTTTTTATTTAGCAGCATATTTCAATTTATTTTTACAAACAATCTTTTATTACCCACTAATTAACTATATAGAAATTATTATACAAAATCATTACATATTAATAAAATAATCGTTTTTTTTGTATCTTACCATAGATGGATCAAATGAATATTCAACAGAATAATAATGTACAGAACTTGAATTAAGGGCACCGGTACATATTTCTCCAAATGTACAATTTTTTATTTCAATATCTGGATTAATTATTGACTTAATAGAATTATCTGATATCTTATCACCTTGTACTATTAGCACCCATGCCTTTAAATAAAATAAACCTTTAGAAAACTGAATACTAGTTTCATAATCTTACCAATAAAAAAATCGATAGAGATATCATTTTTACACACTATGTCAAATGGAATGAATGATAAAAAAATCGACTACATGTGATAAGAAGATGACTCATCTATAAATAAAGCGACATCTAACTTTTTCTTCTTATTAAATGAAATTTATATAAAACTGAATTTAAAACTTAGAAAATATGCCCAAAAAATTATATACTAATTCTATTAAAAATTAATTAAAGTCATATCAATGGAAACGATTTCATCAATGGCGGTATATGGTGGCGCTTTAAGTTAATCTTTACTGCTTATCATTATTCATTCAATCTGATACTACAACAATGAATTATTTGTATTTGAATAATTCACCACAACAGCCTGTACCAAGATCATTTGTTTTTAATAAACGAAATGAAAAAATTGATTGGCGTCGAATTGGTAGGAAAAATAAATTCTTTTTTTCAATGAAATTGATTAAAATTTGATTATTATTATAAATCTAGCTGCTGTTGATGTTGAACGTGTAGCACGAGAATTAGATTTTCAAGTATTACAAGATAATATTGAACATATTACATTATGTAATATCGATCTTGAAGTTGTAAGTTAAGCATTTTATCAAAAACTTTAAAAGATAAATATTTTCAAGGATTCTCGAGCAATGGATCCAAATTTTCTGAAACTTTATAAAATGGCACAATTAACAATTGAATATCTTTTGGTTTGTTTTTCTTTTATATATTTCATATATTTCTAATCAATGTTTTTTTCTCTTAGCTTTGCCAAGATCAAATAACAAGCCAATTAGTTGATTACGAACAAAACAAAGGCAAAGGTTTAGCTGTAAGATATTCTTTTTTTAATATTCAAAAAAAAAACAAGTTTTTTATAAAATTTCTAAAAGGATCAAGACGAAACTCGTCGACAAATTGAAAAATTAAAAAATGATTTAAATTTAACAAAAAAAGAATCAAAAAAACGAAAAAAAATGATTGAAACACAAGAAAAAATGTTATTAGCACAACGTTCAAATTATCACACTGTATGAAAATTTTCTTTTATTTATTTTTTTATTATTTCTTCAAATTTTTTCCAGTGTCCAGTTTGTACACATTCATTTTTAAGTCTCGAATATTTACAAGCACATATGCATCGTCGTCATCCAGAATACGATCCAAATCGAAAACGTGAACATGATGTAGATATTGAAAAAGAAATACAACGTCTTAAAGATGAATTACATAGTAAAGAAACAGAACTACAATTAATTAAAGTGCAAAAAGTATGAAAAAATTCATATTACTTAATATAGTCTCCATATGATAACACAAAAACGAATGAAAAATTTTTATAATATTAACGAAACCATAAATAGGATCGATATATATGACAATAAAATCACATAATATTTAATAGGACATCATAGTAGCAAGGAGTATAAATTTGAGTCATACTGTTCCGGAAGTTACAATTCAAGGTGATTTAATTAAATACGACACCTTTTTTTGATATACATCATAGTATAGAACAATTTGCGAAGACTACTGTGCATTGTATTATTCTACTACATGACATGTTGAATCTTATTTTGGACTAATATTTAACTTTATGATTTAGATTGAGAGATTTTTTATTAATTGAAAATTATTTTTGTTCTCTAATGGTTTCTGTCTGGGCAGTTGTCACCCTTTTTTTCATTTTGATGTAATCCAATAGGAATGTAACTTTTACTGCTTCCGGGAACGAAATTTAAAATAATATTTGAAGTCTAAACGAGTTTCTATCAAATATACTTAATTTCTAAGACAGTAGTACGAGTTATTTTAAGTTACTTGATGAAATTTTTACTGGAGTAATCATTTGTATTTTTAGGCTGTTGATGAAGAAAAAATTCGAGATCGTGATGAAACTATTCGTCAACTTAAAGTATAATAATTAATTTATATTTTTATTATTACGATAATATTTATTTTATATAGGACGAAATTCAAGCATTAACAACAAAAATAACTATATTAGATGAAAAATATTTTACATTAAGATCTGTAATATTTTATTTATTTTTTTTTGTTTATTAAAATATCAATCTTCTTCTTTTTTAAGACTAATCAAAATCAAACACCATCACCCAGTCGACGTGAAGGTGGTGTTAAAGAATTATTAAAAGAAAATAAAAATTTACGTGTGGAAAATGAACAATTAGTTTGTATTATTTATCTGTAATTTTTAATCTAATAAATTTTCTTTTTTTTAGAAACAATTACTTCAACAACTAGAAACGAATTTACAAAAAGAAGAAAAATCTAAACGACGTTTAGAACGTGAAAATCAAAATGTGATTTACATTTTCTCTCCCATCTATTTTATCATACAGTTCCGTTTTTTTCCTTTAGTTGCAAAAGAAAATAGTTGATCTAAATAATACTCTAGCATCTTTACAAAACGCATCAGGTGATACAAGTCGATTATCACAAGAATTAATTGCATCTCAAAATGTAAGATAAAACGAAAAAAAGGGAAATTAATATATATCATTCATTTGTTGAATATCTAGCGATATAATGAAGAAAAAAATCGACGTAAACAATTAGAAAAAGAAGTTGATGAAGCTAGTCATCAATTAGCACAACTTCGAAATCAACCACCACCCGTTATTGATCGTAAATCACCTGCACCACCACCACGTTCAACTGCTTCACCATCTCCACGTTCAAGTGTTTCACCACCTCCTGTACGTGTTCCATCTCGACCAGTTCAAACAACAGAAATATTTCTACCACAATATTGTCCAAGTCTTGTTCGACAAATCAATGAAAATCCTCGATTTTTAAATCAATATCGAGATGCTGCAAAAGAACAATTAATCGAGGAATTTTCGCAATATGATAATTTAGGCATTACTGAAGTAAGATTAAATTCATAATATAAAATTAATACTAATAGTATTCGACTTTTAGAAAGATACTCGACTTAGTACTAATGATTTTCCAGCAAAAATGAAGATTGTTGAACAAACCCGAAATAATATTCAACAAGTAAGATTTATATTTTCAATTATCCTATTTTTCTTGTACTGAACTATTGAAGAGCTAATTTCATCACAATTCTTTTTTTATTTGTTCAATATTGTAAATTAAAATATCTATTTTAGGATTTACCAAATTTTGAACGTATTCGTGCTGAATTGAGTCAAAAATTAGATAAACTTGCTAATGAACGAATGCATAATCACCAACCTACAACTACATCATCTGTTCGTTCATCAGGTGGTAAATTAGTTAAATTTGAAGATGAAACTCAACGTCAACCAACAAATTCATCGAAAAGACCTGCAACAGCAGTAACAACAACAACAATTCAATCAAAACCTAAATCTAATCAAAAACATCCAGCACCACGTTTTGCTTCAGATGATGAAAAAACTAATACACATTCAAATGATAGTGATGAATACAGTCAACCATCAAGATCAGCAGTTACTAATGATATTCAACCATCACCTAGAAAACATCTTCCATCAACCGGTGTTAGTGCATTAGCTTCAGGAAGTATGAGACCATCAATAACAAATAATACGAAAACAGTTTCAGCCATTGTTCGACCACAATCAGCAATTCATAAATATGAATCAGAAGAAAGGTAAAAATCTATAAATGATAAGGTAATTATTTTGAATATTTTATAGTAGTGATAGTGATAATCTAATGGAAGCAAATGTAGCAACAAAAACACGAGTTCTTGATCAAAAATTAAATGAAATAAGTTCAAGAGGACAAAAAACGACAGTTGGTGCTATTGCACAAGGTTTTCAACCATCTCGTCAAACTGTTGCAACTCATGTAAATAAAATAATTATAATATGTATATATATATTAATTTCTATTTTAATAATAATTCAGAATGATAATGAAGATGATGAAAGTGATCCATCATTAACTTCAATTGATGATACAAATCCTCAGCCAAAAATTTCAAATACTCATGGGTATTTATCATTATTTTTTCTATCATAAATTTAAATTTTGCATTATTTAGAATTCGAGAATTAGCAAATCATCATCATCAAAATTTATCATCAGGTGATGTTTCTCAATATACATATGATTCGTAAGTTAATTTTATTTTATATAATAACAAATTCTTTTTTCTTTATTTTGTTTTGTTAGTATATGGAAATCACCAGCTGGAAAAGGTACTGAAATTCGACGACCTTTAACAGCTGATTCAGCTAAAACTTCGAATGTAGATTCGGATAATAATTTTGATGAAGATGAATCCAATTAAAATACTTTTCTTTTTTTTATTATATTTATTCATTTATGTACGCTTTTTCGTATAAGATTAAATTATATGGGTAGCCTTAGACGATTTTTATAGATATTTTCAGTTAATATACTGACTATGATATCTTGTGCTTTTACAGTTCAAATTTTTCTTAAAACAGAAAAAATAAATTTGAAAAAAAAAATAATATTCATCTTCATATTTTATTATATGAGAATAAGGTGAAAATATGACGGTAAAAAAAAAGTATTACTAGTTAGTTTTAATATAGAGATAAATGATCAAAATATGTTTGATTGATTATTTTTTCGATGATTCATATCTAACTATTTTCTAACATATATTCGTTCTTTCATGTGATTATTGATGTTGACCTTGAAATATTTTTTTTTAATCATGGATATGTACTTGTTCGTTTTACTGTATGAGCATGCCTATTTCATTCTCGTATACTTTCTATTAGTGATAAATGAACACGGTAAATTCTCATAGGATATTTTATGAGTAGAAGTTGTCAATAAGAAAATCGTGGTTCTAACAAATTCAATTTGGATATAATTTGATTATTGGAAGCTTATCATAAAGATTTTCTTGCTTTACAAGTAAAATATATACTTAAAAGTATTAAATAGGTAATCATCTGAGTCTCAATTAAAATTCAAGTTTTTTCAAATCTAATCAAAACATCTTCTCAGACATTAACTATTACTTCGTGTTTTTTAAAATATTTTGTCTGAAAAACTAACTTACAATGAAGAAAATATTTTTATATTCAAACTGTTGATAATCTTAATGGAAAAAATCTAGTAAAATATCTTTCCCTTCTAACAAATTATACTAAAAAGTAGTACATCTATTATAGTTTTAATGCATTCGTTATAATGAATTCATCATTAAAGAGAGCATTGGTTGGTCTGTAAATATGAATAAAATACATCTATACATCAAATACTTTCTCTTAGTAGATAATCATGTATCAAAGATTGAAACTTTTCTGTTTCATCGGACTGTCATGAAAGTTCAAATACGAAAAAAGCCCGAAATAAAATTTACCTTTTTTCAGTTGAATATATTTTATCAGTTCTATTAAAAATCACTCTTATCATATAGTGTCATCATCAAAAAAATGTAGCTATGCCTCAGTAACTTTTAATACTCGTAAAATACATATGCTAGTTTAAAACACGGATAATTTTACTGATTTACAAAAATTTCATTACCTTCATGTGATAAACAATAAAATCAATTTTATTATATATTTAAATTGTCAAGGTATACTTATTAATTCGAGCATATTCATGATTCGAAAAAACCCATGTCAACACGCACATCATTTCCATGACATATGTCTATTTACTAATCTGAAAATATATTTTTTATTCAACATGAAAGGTAAAGTACAAAATAAATCTACGATTACGAAACAGAAAAAATAATCATTTTAATCTTCAAGCGAAAGAAAACTAATGTTCGTTAACTATTATATATAACCATTTTTCCTCGTTAGTTTAGTCAAGCTTGATCTGTCCATGCTTCTTCTACAATATAGAAAAACATACTGATGTATATATACATACTCATGGCTGATGTATATATACATACTCATGGCTGATATTCATATTTTTTTCATACGACGATTCGTCATGTAACGCTCGATTAGATACACACAAACATGTATGTTACCTTTCTCTAACGCAATATTAATTGAAAAACTTCTATCGAAAAAGAATGACAAACAATAACGATGAATATAAAAATCTTGATGATACACCATCTAAGCCAATTGAATCAATGAATCTTCATTCAATCCTAGATAATAGTTTTGAGGTAAAAAAAACAACACAAGATTTAGATTTATTAAAATAATATTTTTAAGACTGATGCAAATACACCACTACTCGGTCCTACAAATGATAATCAACAATCACCTTATGAAGAAGTTGCTGTCAGTGTTTCTAATCATGATGATCCAACAGTATTATGTTTAACATTTCGTTCAGTATTTATTGGCATCCTATTAATATTTGTTAAGGCGATTACAGATCAACTTTTTGCTTTACGTACCTTACCATTATCTTTAGATATTGGTATTATTATGTTATTATCATCCATGATGGGTAAATTTCTAGAGAAAATATTACCCGAAAAACTTTTCAATATGACAGTGAATCCAAAACCATTTTCTGTCAAAGAACATACTCTTGCTGTCATAATGGTAATGTCTGCAGATGGTGGTAGTTCTCTTATCCCAGCAATTGGCGTGCAACGTTTTTATTATAATTATTATCTTCATCATTTTAATGCAATAATATTTATGATAACATTCCAATTATTTGCTCTTTCAATAGCAGGAATTCTGAAAAGGTACCTTGTATGGCCTGGTGCAATGATATGGCCAAAAACGTTGATGACTTGTTGTGTAATACGTACACTACATCATGAAGATGAAACTGAACTGAATCAATCACGATGGACAATGTCACGTTTTAAATTCTTTTGGCTAATGCTTTTATTTCAGTTTCTTTGGTATTGGTTTCCCGGTTATATTTTTCCTCTTTTAGCATCATTCTCATTTGTTTGTATGATTGCACCAAATAATATTATTTTCTCACAAGTAACAGGTGCTAATGGACTTGGTATCGGTGCATTACAATTTGATTGGAATGCTTGGGTATCATTTTTAGACTCACCTATATTTGTACCATTTTGGTAAATATTCTCGTTTGTTTTATATCAAACAATTAATTATTTCAAATATTTATTCTTAAGGGCTCATGTAAATATATTTGTCGGATTTGTTCTGGCAATTTGGATTGTAATACCAATTCTTTATTATACGAATATATGGGAATCACAAAAAATGCCAATTATATCGAATAGAGTATTTGACATTGACGGTTATTATTATGATACAAATAAAGTATTAAATAACAACTCACGATTAAATGAAACTGCTTATAATGCCTATGGTAGTATTTCATGTCATCTTTTTTTTTCAAAAGAATATCTTTCATTTTTATAGGTGAAATCAGATTACCTTTCGGTATGACTGTTATTTTTGGTTTTACTATGGCTGGATTTTCAGCAGCGATTGTACATACAATACTTTATCATGGTAAGATTTTGACTATGATTAGTTTTATTAAACACATAAGTGTGTGTTGTTACATATATGTTCAGTATAGTTTATATCAAAAATCTAATTATCTTTTGAATCATGTTTTCTACTAGAAAATACTTCTGTATTTGTGTGACATTAGTAGAATAAGTTAGTAGAATAGTTGTAGATATATCTAATAAATTTTGTCAACATATTTTGAGTGATTGGATTTGAATATTATGCAAAGATTAGAAGTTTGGGTGTGTGTCAAGTGTATAATGTGTAAAAAAAACAAATTAGTATGTAAACAATCTAGATATTTAACTTATAATTTAATAATTTAGGTAAATCATGTGTCGAACAATTCCGTTTAAGTTTAGTAGATCAGAAGAATGATGTTCATGCTCGACTCATGTCTCATTATGCTGAAGTACCTGAATTTTGGTAAGAACTATTCGAGTTATTAACTTTTATTTGTTTCTTTTTTCATTCAGGTATTATATATTATTTGTTGTTTCATTGATACTGAGCACAATAAATGGTTATTATAGTGAATCTTTATCTGGATATATTCTTCTGAGTAAATTATCTGTCATTATGAGTTTATTTTATGAAATTTCTTCTTTATATAATATAAGCATTTTCAAACTAATCAAATATTATGTTGACTCCGACAACTGAGTGAATGACAATTAGAATAAAAGAGCAAGTTAATCGATTATTTGTTGATAGAGATGAGCATATATAGGTATGAGACTATGTCATAGAATCCTTTGAATATGTGTCGAATCTTTAATTATCTACAGTTGAAATAAGTTTTATGTTCTGTTGTGAATGTATCACGATATTTTAATATTCGATAGAATAGAATTAACATTCAACCAACATTATTCTGGTAGTTAGAATTAATATCATTTGTTCTCTCATTACTTGTATATGTGAAGAGTTACAGAGACAATGGATTAAATGTGTGAAAAAAACGATTTTTACCTTTTCTTCCTCAAGATAGTCAGTTCGTAAATCTAACTAAAGTAACGCTCATGGTGCTGTTATTTGTCTTTGAAATAAGATAGAGAATAGTTTCATTGCTATCTGCTATGTTTTCATATCGAAAAAAGTCAAAGTAGGAAGTATATGATTAGTTTTATATATGAGTTAGCATTTTTAATTCGAAGCAAATATAATGTTGCTGGAAACTATATTTTTCAACAAATTCATTTATGCTTTCACTTTCAAACTATTACAACAAATATTAAAATATCGTAATACATTGATATCAGAACATAAAATTTACTCTGAACTATAGATAATTAAAGATTTGACACATGTTGTAAGGTATTTGTGAAATAGTCTCATACTTTTACTTATCCAACAAAAACAGTTTCATAATAACAGTTCATACTAGTATATCCTCTTCTTTCAAGAAACGGTAGTTTAATTTGCTCTTTTGCTCTAATTGTAATTCATTGAAGTGTGGAAGATTGTATAGAATTCTATCATTTAGAAGATACTTGTGTAATGCGTAGAAAAGACTTCGTAGAAAAGACTTCATAGAATAGATCCATAGTATTCTGAATATAATATAATTATATATTTTAGTTACTATGATTCTAAATATTATTTTCGTCGTGCCAATTGCAATTATAACGGCAACAACAGGTTTTCCAATCGGTTCGTTCTAATAAAGAAAAATCATTATATTTTTCAGAATTAGTGATTTTCTTTCTTCCTTAAGGCGCCACTATGTTATCTTATGTTATTGGAAGCCTCGTACTGGTTGGAAATCCCGTTAGTTTCACAATATACGAATTCTATTCAGTTGCATGTCAATCCAAAATATTGATATTTCTCATTTTACTTAAAACTGCTCATTATATGAAGGTAAAATAATCATTTGACATTATTAGTTTTTATTGAAAAATATATAGATTCCACCTCGTATTTCATTTCCATTCTTGATCTTATGTCCAATAATTGCTAGTATAGTGAGTTATATAACAGCAATATATCTATTCAATCATATACCAAACATATGTACAAGACAAAATCCTCAATGGAGATGTTTAGCTACTGAAACTAGTTATTCATTATCGATTATATGGGCTGTAGTTGGTAAAATCAAACGCATTTGTCACATAGTAGTTTTATGTTTTCATAATTTTTAGGGATTGTGAGATTATTTGGACCAAAATCTATGTATTCATCCTTGATGTATGGACTTATTATTGGTCCAATATTACCTATAATCAGTTGGTTTTTATGCAAAAAACTTCCACATATAAAATGGTTGGTGCTTATTAATTTTCCAATTATACTTCTAGCTGCACATGCGATTCCAACTGCACCAGCTGCTGAATATCCATCGTGGTTTTTAGTTGGTTTTATTTTTAATTATGTTATATATCGCCATGCACATGGATGGTGGAAAAAATATGCATATGTGTTTTCTGCTGCAATGAGCTGTGGTGTAGCAGTTTGTGGAATACTTATAACTTTTGCTTTACAAAACAATCATATCTCTTTTCCTCAATGGTGGGGAACAAAAGATGTTTGTCCATTGTCTGGTGCTAATTATTCAGGAGTCATTCCTACATATCGTGATTTATGATATATATTCTATTTTTAATTTGAAAGAAAATAATAAATTTTTATTGGGAATAGGAGTCAGATCGTCTGAAATGTTTATAAGTAGGAATGGATACTGATTCTCATCTTCTTGTAAAATAACTTCTAATATTGATTTGTAGATCAAGGAAATATAACTGATTGTCTGAAAATTCTATACAAATCTTCTATGATAGTAATATCAAATTGGAGAACGGTATTTTTTTGATATTCTGACACAAATGAAAATATTATTTTGAGATGTTTGTAAAATGATATGTTGAATGTTATTTATGCCAATTAGCGACGAAGCCAGAGTTTGTCGGATGGTGGGGCGGCGCTCTAACGACCTTTTGAAAGGCTATTTTTGGTTAGGTTAATTTTTAGTTGAATACAGGTTCTCTCATCACACTTACAAATGAACAAATGTGGTACATGATGAATTGAACAGTTTCACTGTTCATCCAATTCATTTGAAAGGAAAAATGATGGTTCATGTCAAATACAATCGCCAAACTATTCGTTTACGAATAGTTGTTGTTAATGGCTATGGTAGTAATATATTTGGTCATGATTGAACCGACGCTCTTTATCTTAATACATGTACATTACATAATATCGCTTCTAATGTACCAATTCTTAAAGTCAATCCTGTTACCAAGCATTTGGATGAATTATTCATTCAGTACAACGACGTCTTCAAGAATAGATTAGATTGCTGCAAAGTCAATGCTCATCTTTATATCAAGTCGAATACTACTCCAAAGTTTTGCCAATCAAGATCTTTATCATTTGCATATCGATTAGCTGTTGAAAAAGATTTGAAAAGATTAGTTAGTGAAAACATTTTAGAACCAATTAATTTTTCAAAATAAGCAGTGTCAATAGTTGTTGTATCAAAACCAAGTGATAAAATACGAATTTGCGCTGATCTTAATACTGGAGTTAACCAAGCTCTTGACATTAACCAGTATCCATTACTAAAACCAAACGCTTTATCTGTTGCTCTTAATGGAAGAAATCAATTTAAAAAGGTTGATTTCTCAGAAGCCTATCTTCAAATTGAATTAGATCAAGATTGTAAGGAGCTGTTAATTCTTAATACACACAAAGATCTTTTTCGACATAACAGGTTACCATTTGGGGTTGCATCTGCACCAAACATTTTTCAACAAATCTGGGATGAGATGTTAGTCAGTCTTGATGATACAGTTTGCTACTTAGATGATATTATTGTCACTGTACAAAATTATCAGGATCATTTACATAATCTTAACAAAGTATTTGCAAGAATCCAAAAGTATGAGTTTCATATCAACAAAAACAAATGCATGTTTCTTCAGGATCAGATAGAATATCTTGGATTTATCGACAACAAGCATGAAGTTCATACATCTCCATCGAAAATTAAAGCAATGAGAAATATGATAAATTCGAGAAATATTTCTCAATTACGATCATTTCTAGATATATTCAACCATTATGCCAAATTTATACCAGAATTGATTGATTGATTAACTCCGTTTTACTCATCATTAAGGAAAAATAGTTCATGGGAACGAAATTGTTCATGTCAACAAGATTTTTCTTTTATTAAACAAAATCTTACTTCCCCATTGGTATTGACTCACTATGATCCTAACTTACCATTTATTTTAGCAACTGATGCATCAAATTAAGGTATTGCGGCTGTGATATATTGCCGTTATCCTAATGGAATAGAAAAGGCAATTGCTCATATATCCAAAACTTATACATCAACTGAAGTTAATTATGGCCAGATTGAAAAAGAAGCACTTGCTTTTATTTATGGCATTCAAAAATTCGATCCATTTCTACATCGTCGTCATTTTATACTACTTACTGATCATAGACCATTACTGACGATTTTTGATTCTAAGAAAGGTAACCCTTCGGCGTTAGCCAGTCGATTACAAAATTGGGCTCTTCGATTAATGGGATATACTTAGGATATTGAATACCGCTCTACCAACAATTTTGACCAAGCCGCTGGGCTTTTTTGCCTCCCAGTAAATCCAAATCAACAATTTGATTTACGCGATCCTGATGAAGTTCGTGTAGTAGTTTCAATTCAACAAGTATTACAACAGGATCTGTCGGTTCGAGCTGCATAAATTGCAGAAGCTACTCACAAAGATTTCATTCTTCAACAAGTTTATCATTATGTTCTTTCTGGTTGGCTAAGTAAACATCCTGACCATGTGCAATCTTACTACGGAATTTATAATGAACTTTCTACATTATATAGTTATCTATTGTGGTGTTCACGTACAATTATGTCATCTTCTTTTCGGAATCAATTATTTGAACATCTTCATTCTTTACATTCTGGTATGGGTAGAATGCAAGCTGCAGCACGTCGATATTGTGGTGATCTTCATTAGACAAAGATATAGAATCTTTATTCAGTCAATATCAAGGCTATACTGAAAACTCGAAACAATTAGTTAAAGCTCCACTTCAACAATGGATTGTTCCATCACATCCATGGCAATGAATTCATATCGATTTTATGGTAAGTTTATGGATCACGTCTACTTAATTGCTATTTATGCTCATTCCAAGTGATTAGAAGCGTTAATAATGCGCGATATAACAACACTTTTCTCTCGATATCGATTATGTGAAGAAATCGTCTCTGATAATGGAACACAATTTTCTTCGAACAAATTTGCTGAGTTTTGTGTACGACATGAATGCTCTCAAGAAAGGAACTAATAATGGTGGTAATCTTTTAACTCTTTCAAAGAAATTTCTGTTTTGATATCGATCTACACCACATTCTATTTTAAATATTTGTCCAGCTGAATTACTTCTTAAACTTCAACTTTGCACCGCACTCGATTTGCTACGTCTAAATATTTTAAATAAATCTCGCCAATGGTATAAATCTAATTTTGATCAACATACAAAAGAATATCATTTCAATTAAGAAAATAAAATTCTTGTTAGAGATTTCCATAATTCACCAACTAAAGCTAAATGGATTCCGGGTGTACTTATACGTCGTCTTGGGACGGGAATATGGATTGTAAAAGTGAAAAAACAAATTTGGCAATGTCATGAAAATCAACTTCTACATCGTCAATGACCAGATAACAATGATCTTATTAATTCAGATACATCTGCGGAATTTTCTGCAGATCATGATTTTTTAACCACATCAAATAGTGTTCCAATTACTCGACAACAACTACTTCTACGATACAGATGACAACGGAGACCCGTTCAAAGATTGATCAAAGAAATTTAAAAGGGAGGATTGTGATGTAGTGACTTTGTCATTAGGCTTTTTCATGTATGTATGTCCTTTTCCCTTCTTTACTTGACACCTTTCCTTTTCTATTATATGATCTTTTCATTCCATGAAATATTCCAATACGTTACTATATATGTATACATATAACTAGTCGTTTTTTATGCGTGCATATCCATCTGTCCACCTTCACTATCTTTCTTTTGTTGTTCTCTCCTGTTTTGTGTAGTTGAAATAAACTATTATTTCATTTTGCATTTTTCTTCTTGATCTTACATCAAGACGTGACAGGTAGAAATCTAGGTGTTGGTGGTAACGTTCGTGATATTAATTGCATAGAATGTCTATATCATGGTTGGATATATGATGGTGAAAATAAAATTCTTCGAAAACTCGATACATTTAAATACGTTGATATTGAAATATATACACCATGCACATCGAATGATCAAAAATCAGCGAGTTATTTACAAAAAAATATTTATGAAGTATATATACTTGATTACAATCAATTTCACATCATCTATATGGCGAATAAAATTTTTTCTAATAATTATTAGATTCAATGAATAAATCATTCATTTTATAATAATATAAAGCTTCAACTAAAAACCACATACATTCTCTTCGTTATATTCATAATCGTAAAATAAAAAAAAAACTAACAGAAAACAAAACAATGATTAAGTAGAATATTATCTTTTTTGCCAAATAAGAATCAAAGTTATCGAGAATTATTAATAAAAGTTCATTATTATACTAGCAACAACATCAGAAATTTGAAAGATGCAGTTTTGAATATTTTTGATAAAATCGCTTCTTTTAAATATTATATTAAAAAAGCATCATTATCAAATCATACTATTTTTTTTACAAGTATTCAAACCGAATATGTTATATAGTCTTATTCAACTTAATAATTAATCTAAATTCATTATCTAAACACGAAAAAAATGAAGTATATAAAATCATTAAAATATTCTATTATAAAGATTTCAACATTAAACAGACAGATTTATCATTGTTTAACCTTAGATATCATATCAAAATGTAGATTTGCTTGTCGTCGGTATGATTTATATCTAAGAACACGAAGTATAAGTGAGAATCATGGTGTCATCATCAGTTGGTTATTTTCATTAGTGTAAAAAAAGTGGCGTGATCAATGATAAAATATGCTTTCTATTCTTTTGTTTTTCGATTATTCTCACCTTATGATAGAACACAAAAGGTAAGTCGATTCTGTATGACACGTGCATGCTGTATTGACAATAGAAAATGCCTATAATAAGTCGTTTTCAATCAAATCAAACGAACATGAATAGATATTTTTATATGATAAACATACAATTTCAAGACAAATAAGTGTTTTGATTGCAAAATAAGCGGATCCGAAAAAATACATATTTTACAGAAGTATAGTTCATAGGTTAGATTTCTTCGAAAACTTTTATACTGTAAATGCAATATTTCATTTCAATAAAAATTGTAATATACTACAAGTTACAGCAAGCACTTTATAAATAAAGATGAAACTAATGTATATTCTTTGTATTCTTAACAGAGCATGAAGTGAAGAGAGTAATCTGACTTCAAAATCGATTTATTATTAAATAAGATAAGATAATTTGATTGAATGTCAGTATTCTTGATAGTTTAAACATTAATAACACTTTTAAATATTATATATTTAAATGTTGAAGATAAATCTTTATTTAGATATTAATCTATTGGTTTTTTCAATGACTATAATTCTTGACATTCTTAGTGTGAACATATGGACTGCAGTATTTATTATTTTAACTATTTTATATTTTATTTATTATCGTAAATTTCGTATATTCATATATGATCAACCAGAAAAAGTAACAAAAGGGAAAATTCGTCGAGGCAAATGTCCACCATCGTATCCGAATGGTAAATTCATGTTCTTTTCATTGTTCAAAATGTCTTTCCTCTTCTATTAGGATGGTTTTGGTTAATAGATTCATATAATCTTGCTCAAGGTGATGTTAAATTTATTCAAAATTGTGGACGAGATGTTGTACTTTTTCGAGGATACAATGGAAAACCTTATGTTCTCGAAGCATATTGTGCTCATATAGGTGGTAATCTAGGTGTTGGCGGTAAAGTTCGTGATATTAATTGCATAGAATGTCCATTTCATGGTTGGATATATGATGGTGAAACTGGTACATGTGTATTTCCTGATGGTGAAAATAAAGTTCTTCGAAAACTCGATACATTTGAGTACGTTGATGTTGAAAGATGTACACCATGTACATCAGATAATCAAACATCAACGAGTTATTTACAAAAAATAGCTGATCAGCAAGAAATAACACTTAAAACATACGAATGTCGTGAAATGAATGGATCAATTTTTGTTTGGTTTCATGCAAATGAACAATTAAGACATAAACCACTTTATGAATTATTTGATATTACAGATGAAATACAGAAAAATAATATGGAAGGTAAATTTTTTTCTAAATGTATGCATTTAATCTCCTATTGAGACAACTTATTCGATACGTACATTGTTAGAATCGAAACTCTTGAATAATTCTATCAGTCGATCGTTTGCATTTAATTGATTTTCTTTTTACATTTTTAGTTCGTGGTGAATCTATAAATTATATTAATTGTCATATACAAGAAATACCAGAGAATGGTATAATTTATTATTATTTATTTTTTTTTTGCATTTTTTTTTGATTATATTTAGGTAGTGATGTTCGTCATTTTGATTACTTACATGAATCTGTTCTTGATTCAATTTCATTTGTTAAATTTAAATGGAAGGTTTTAGCTGAACGAGCAATAACTCCAAATATGCGTGATTTAATGGCACATTCACACCCAAAAGCACATGCTTATAAAATGCATCTTTTCAATAAATTTTTAACAGAAGATAATCTTCAGTATATTAATATAATAGCATTAGATTGTTCATTATGTTTTTTAAACAAATATGAAATATTTCTTTTTAATACAACAGGTTTTCAAATTGGTCCATCAATTGTTTATCTTTTTCTATGGTCTCCATATTTTAAATTAACATTTTTTCATACATTAACACCATTAGAAAAATTTCATCAACGTGTGGTACATCGAATAATAACATCAAAATGGATGCCTTATTGGCTATCAGCGAGTATGCTTATGGGAGAAGTTAAACAGCTTTATGCAGATATGAAAATTTGGAATAATAAAATTTTTACTGAAAAACTTAATTATAATTTAAAAAGTTATGCAGATAAATGTCTTCATTCATATAGAAACTGGTATGCACAATTTTATGATGGTTGTTATGAACGCGAAGCAAAATCATTATCTTGGTAGAAAACTGCGATATTCAACATGAACTTACTTTAATATCTGCGTTATTTTTTATTATTGATCATCCTAAAGAAATTTTATTTTTTATATTCTGTTTATAAGATATTTGATAAAAAATGATTTAGAAGATATTTCAAACTAAGACATATATGTAAAAATTATAGTAGCAATAAAGGACACCATACGATAAGGTCGTAAATCTACCATCCCCTTCAATTTCGACTTTCAATAGGTTACACAAAGAGAGAGCACGAAATTCTACATATTTATTCTTTTCTTACTGATGAACACAGCACAATTTTTCTAGACTGAGGGTGGGTGTGGGTGTGAAACGTGACGGGAATCAATAGCATGCCATCCAAGCCAACACTCCCATACACACCAACACTCATAGTCAGATCCTCTTCTCGTATAGTTTTATCATTAACAAAAAAAGCCACGCCTCAGTAAATTTTTAATAGTCGTAAGATATAAGTATATATATTAGTTTAAAAATAGAGTAACACTACTAATTTTTATGTTGAGAAAACCTTATCTTTAACAATATTATTGATTTTATGTGATAAGATATGAAATCAATTTTACTATATATTTAAATTGCCAGGATATGCTTACTAATTGGAGTATATTAATGATTCGAAAAGATACCCGTTAACACGCGCATTATTTTCATTGAATAAACTTCTAATAATACATTTTCATGATATATTCCTATTTATAAATTTAAAAGTTTATTTTCTATTCAATGTAAAAGGTAAAGTAAAGAATAAACCAAAGATTACGAAACAAAAATATTAAGAAACTATTTTTTTTAATTAAGATACATTGACGAAACAGAAAAAATAATGATTTTAATATTTACGAGAAAGATAAATAGTATTAATTAATTAACTTTAATATACAATGATACAATGACTTATCGTCGTTACTTTTGTCAAGCTTGATCTGTCCATGCTTCTTCTACAATATAGAGAGACATATCGATAAACACATGCATCCTGACTACTGTTACTTGTATTTTTCCTTACGACGATTGGTCGTGTAACGCTTGAATAGATATTCAAAAATATGTATGTTACTTTTCTTTAACCCTTTAAGTACCATAGCTCAGCCAATGGATGAAACTTTGTTAGGACTTTATTTCTAACATGTATATTGTATGTTGTGAATATTTTCATCGAAACTTTTTAAAAAACTTTCGAAGTCATTTTTGATCAATACCCGTACCCCCTACGGTACGCTGGCACTTAAAGGATTATTAAAATGATAAATACCGCGCGAATACAAGCACCTACATGCCCTCTATGCCACAATGACAAGTTCACTTCGATATTGTTTCGCATTCGTAATTTATTCAGAATATGTCAAATTCTAAAAGAGTGGGGCTTATAGGCCCCGTTGGTACTTAAAGGGATAATCATTGCCTCAGTAAATAGATAAAAAAGAAAAATCATGAATTTTGTTTATAGATAAAGAACAAATATCTTTATAAAACTGTGTTTATTATTATTGTGTGAATTGCTTCTAACATAATCAATTCTACAATATACGTTAAGCAGAAATCTATTATAAAAAATAATTCTTAGTTTCGTTCAATATTTCGAGGAGATATTCTTTTGTAAGTTATGGATGTTATATCAAATTTTCCAACTAAACGTATCAGTATAAGGTATGGATTTAGAATCGACCATACATTCAGTCAATTTTAATTAACTTATAGAAAAAATATTAATATCGCGCAAAGATTCGCGAACTTGTTGAATGCTTCTGTGATCCTAGATGCAAATCAATACATATTTTGATAGTTATCTGTGTTGGTTGAATAATCTTCGATTCATGAATTCAAGCTCAGATTTATCAGATGACTAACCAAAATGTAGTATCACATAATTGTAAAATTTCAAATCTTCTATTTTTTATTACATTTATCGAATAATGGAATTATTTAATTTTTGTTCGTAACCTTTCAATTACGAATTCTATTGTACGATTACAAGACCTTTGGATTTTACTTGAAGCATTTACAAAAAGAACTGCAGACATTAAATGATACGTTACCTCTGATAGAATGCTGTTGGATCACTTTATAAATATTAAAGTTACTAACATTTATGACATTTGTCGAGTTCCGAAGTATTAATTATATATACGAGAGCCGTCTTCATAAAAAAAAGATATAGAATGATCAAGATCTACTCGTCTACAATCATATCGAAATAGAAAATTGATTAATATTAATCTCAAATTATAATCATTTAATTTCTCTAAATTTGTACTATTGAATTAGTTCATTTTTGTTTAAGATATAAATTTTCGAGTATATTTATATTTATGAAACAACCAGATATACATTCTCCTAATAATTTGTCAAGTAAACAAAACATAACTAAAGTTTATTTTATGACGATACAGTTGCATTAGTCCATTGTTTAACTGCTGTTTGCATTAAATATTGTGCTTGAATAATATTATTTGGCATACCAATTATACTAATAATACGATCATTACTTGGTAATGGATCATCAAATTTAATAACACAACCTGATTGTTGTCGAATTTGTGCAATACGACTACATCGTGGACCAAGTATAGAAGATGATAATGCATTTGGAATTGTTACTTGAACTGTTGTTGGCATTGGACCATTATTTTGTGAATAATTCATATGATTAGTATTACTTCTATTATTATAATTTCCACTATGTTGTTGTTGTTGATTTGGATTAAAACGTGTACGTGTTGCTTGAAAATCATGATTTTCACCAAAACCTCCTTGATATAAAAATAAAAAACTATTGATGAGAAAGAAATAATAAAACAAAATGAATATGACAAAAATACCGTATCGTTCAACATCAACACCATCATAAAAAGATGGATCATAAATTCGTATAGGACCACGAACTGGTGTTTGATCAAGAATAGAATAAACTTCTGAAAGAGATAAAAAAAAGAAGATAATTTTAATTCAATAAAACTAAATTCATAATTTACCTTTTAAACATTCAATAATATTTGGTAATTCACCACGTAATGAAAGAATTCTTTCAGTTGTATCTCCTGGTGTTGCATTTGGAAATACTTTTGTATCTAAATTATATTTTTGACGAAATTCTTTTATACGATCACCACTTTTCCCCTAACAAAAAAAAATATTCTTTAGAGAAATAACTGAATTAAATTATTTGTTTTTTTTCTACTTACAATAACAGCACCTGCTTGTGATGAATGAATCATTGCACGTAATTCAACAAAGCCCGGTCTAACACCTTGATTTTGTGCCATTATTGGTAATATATCAGCTAATATTGACATTGCACGATCTTCATCACCATAAAATATTAAAACACGTTCAGGTGTTTGAACTTGAGATATATCAATTTGATTATGATATTTATTTCGTAATGATTGATAATTTTCTCCATTTCGTCCAAATATTGCATTTGAATCTGATGCAGCAATTAAAAATCGATATTCGGTTCGAGTTGAAGGAATATTTCGATTACGTTTATTATCATTTACACCAGATGATATATCTTCGTTTGATCGTTTATTACCAGGATACATTCCATGATCCATTCAAAAAAAAACAACTAAATAAAATGAATGATTGTAAAATAATAAGAATGTGTAATCTTCTATTAGTTCATTTATTTTTACCAATAAAACAAAAATTCAAAATTTCATCAGATGGCGCATGTCAACATACAACTGCCTAAAGTAACAAAAAGTTTTCCATCATAATAAAATGCAATCAGATACTTATTTTAAATTCTAAAACATAATCAAGATCAATATGATATTCACGTGTTGCATTTTTCTAAATATATTATAGTTCTATTCATATATTATCAAAGGCACCAGAAGGCGTTTATTGATAAATTCACTTATCATCAGTGACATCTATAGAGATTGAGATTCTAGAGATAAATTCAAGATATTTTAAAGTGAAAAGATATCAAAGAAGGTACTTATTAGAAGCATCGACGCATTCTTACTATTTAATCATTAAGTACTCCGATGAAATTCATAGAAAATACTGCAGAAGCAGAATATTTTCGTTGTAAAACACAAGTATCTCGTTTGATTACAAATTAAATTGAAAGATTCGATCTATCAGATCAAGATTAGTACCTAATTGTATATCTTTTCATTAGAGTTTGATAACATATACCAAATTTTTATAAATTTAAAGCATTCGGAAATTCATAACTCCTACTTTTAAATAATGTACTTCAATGAACAATTAATATTAGTAAGTCTTCTAATTAAAAACAAGATGATTCAGTGAAACTTGCTTTAATTATGTTAAAAGTTTAATAAATTATTATTTCAAGTTGGTATTTTACATATATAAATTATGAAAAAATGAATCATTATTTAAAAAAAACAAATACTTCTTAAAGTAATATATTTAGGTAAAAAATAATTTTACAATTGAAACGATATACTGTTCGATCAAAGACTTTTCAGTCAATCTGTTGACTTGATCTAATAACGGATTGCTAAAAACAAAATTTATCACATATCATTAGAGAATAGTGATATTATTGCATTAGTTTGCTTTATTTTATAAATACCATCTAAGTGATCGATGCAAGATATTAATACTTCAGTGAATTTCTACAAAAGTTTGAAAGGCCAAAAAAAGCCTGATAATTTTAATACGAATGAGGATTCATCTTTTTCATTCTAATGATTTATCAATAAAAATCTATGTAGACGACTATGTCAATTTTCTTAATGAACGTTGAAATCATTCTCTATATAATTTGTGTAGTTAGCATTATTGTATATTTGTTTAAGCGAGTATTTATTTATTGAAAAAGAATTCGAGTAAATAATTTAAACAGCTGTATTTATATACGAACTAATACAAGGAGTAAAATAATTTTTATCTAGATATATTCATAGTGAATCTAAAGGAAATATCAAGAATACTATAATGATATCTGGGTGACTTCAATTTGATCGAATCAAAGCTCGTTTCAAATAAAATATTAGAAATAATGAATCAATACAGTTAATATAAATATCATGGACACATATATCATTGAGTGTGCTCTTATTAGAAGTGACATGTAGAATTTGAATTGAGAAAATCATATTGGTTTTGTTATTGTCATAAATTAGATAATAAACATTCAATGTAAATACTAGACATAGCACTAAATAAATATTTCAATTAAGATAATACATATGATTCATTCAAATGTATGACTGTAACTCGCGATAATGGAACTTTAACGTTGAATACACATTGTGTTATTTTTCTTTTACAAACAAAGTAAGAAAAAAAACACTTACATTCCACATCGATTTTTCAGACGTCATAAACAAACATGTTATATTCTCTAAGTATACTCGAATATTCTTATTTCGAATATATATAAAAAAAACAAAATTTGTATTATTAAGATATGCTGTGTCAAAAACACTAAAATATTACGCTATCTTAGTAATTCATTATGTTTTCAAGGAAACTAAAAAAAAAGTTCATATGTTTCACACAATATTACAAAGTTTTCCGAAGTTTTTTTCTTCTTTTATTTTCTTTTCTTTTCTTCGCTACAACATCGTCCGTTGCCAATAGCAAAGAAAGACTTTTTTTTTGCATAAAAACTATTGCATTATTATCTCATTTTTTTTTCCTTACAAACAAAATGTCCGACCAAAATAGAAAACATCCTTCGTCACAAGAATCACCTGTTGAATTATCAGCGAAAAATTTACAACCTAAAAAAACTCCTAATAACAAAAAGAAGAAAGCCTTACAAGTACAAACATCAAAACCTAAAAATTTTGTGAAAATAAAATCAACAAAAATACCAATACATTTTACTTGGGCATTAGTACTTACTATATTATGTTTTTTTGTTATTGGACCATGTTGGGCACTTTATAAAACATATGAATTACGTCGATTAATTGCAGAAAAAGATTTGGAAAAAGCAGCTCGTTTATCAAATAAAATTTCTACTGCACTTGTTATTTCTACAATCATTGGTGTTGTTGCATGGGTATCAATTCTATTCTGCTCAGTAGGACTTTTATTGACTGGAGTGTTATTAAAAAATAAATGGATATAATATATATGTAAATGCATTCGAATGATAATCGTTTTTTTTTTATTAATATTTAAGTCAATTTTTTTATATAAGAAAATATGTCATATTTATATAATAAAATATCAGGCTTTGAATCCATATCGATTTATATTTATTGAACTAATAAAAAGTTTTTACTCGAATAAGAGGATTATTTAGTATGAGAACGAGACTCAAATAAATGAGTCAAATTTATTTAATTAAATTTTTTTCTTTTTCACATATTCTAATTAAAATATTGAAAAAACAATTAGAAAGACAATTCTATCACCTAAATATGTGGATTTTTATTTTGTTGACACATTCTTTTTTTATATGTCAATCTTTCAATCTTATTTACAATTCATTACATATAATAACTATAACTATTCATTATTATTAATAATGACGTACTTGGAAACATCATAGATTTGATTAGTTGATCTTATAAAAATAACGAAATGATCGAGAAAAAAGAATAAGAAAGATAATTTTTTTTTCTAGTACTACGAACATCACCACCATTATTAATACAACAAGATAGATCTAGTGGAAGAAACATTATTTGAAAATATAGAGAAAAAGCAGAAAAAAAAACTAGAGAAGAATTTGTCTAGTATGTCGACCGTATGACACTTGAAGGAAATGAACAATTCGATTGAACCGTGCATCATAAAGACGAGTCAGTTAGTATCATTAAGATTTGTGCACTACGATATATTTAGTTTTATGATATAAATATATAAAAATGGCACTTGATTATAATTGTTATCTTAAGTATATAATATCTATTAAACGTCCATTAAATAGACAATGATAGTTTTTATATATTTCAAGTTTATGTCTATATTGTTTTATCATTTTAAATAAGAATTGTGTTAGCAACAGACAAAAACAAAAATTTATAATTTACATAAAGGTAAAATATATAAATAAAATTATCGAGAATAAGTTTTTCGTTAAAATAATTATTCTTGCAATCATTTATTGATTGAATTTGACAGTTGACAACTAGGATGTGTTTATTGAATAGTATTATATCGAGAAAAATTTCCGTTGATATAATGAATTTTTACACGTTATTATGAGTGTATATTAATAAGTACAAAGGCAGTGAAAAAATAATTAAAAGAATAACTTATTTAAAAAGTCACAACTTAAATTACTAAAAACCGACACATTTATTTTTTGTTTAATTTTTTTTTTCTTTTCATCATTGTTATTCTCTGGAGAAAAAAAATGAATATATATATCCTTCAATTCAACTAATCATGAGAATTGTTTTAGTAAAAACATTTCTATGAATAATTCAAAAAATTGAATTGTGCCTTTTTACTAATGCTGTTGTCATCAACTCAGTTTTTTGTGCACTTTACATTAACTCAATGTCATTCGAGTCTCGGATCGATTCAACATGTGAATCAATTTACTCTCTTAGTATGCCTCTTTCTTTTTTTTCATATATATATATATATATCCTTATTCCTTTTTTTTCTTCGTTTCCGGAAAAACCAATCAATCAATCTTTCTATTTCTACGAGTTCTCATGATTCCTTTTTTCTTTTCTTTTATAGTTTAGTATTGTTAATGACTATAAATATTTTATCAAGATAACAGTATAGATGTAAGTATAGTTCAAATACATTAAAGTATTCTTTCTTTTTTGCTTATTGTAATACTAATATTTTTCTTTCTTTTGTTGTTTCCCATGTGTATGTTCAAGATCTTAAGAAAAGCGTTAGTTCCTTAGAGATAATATATTATATTTATATTTGTGTGAACTATGTAGCTTCACTAGCGTGCTATATATATATATATATATATAACTTAGCCTTTTTACTGAAATGTACACACACACCTACGCATAAGTATAAATATTTTAAATATTCAAATATATATATAATATCTAAATAGTCATTGATTTTTAATGACACAAGATGATTATTACATACTTAATTCATCTGATTTATGTCTATATTTTAGATAATAACTATGCGTGGGTGATGAGTAGGAGAAAAAAAATTCAATTGTTTTCTCTTCTTTCTCTAGTTTGGTTCCCTCTCTCTCTCTCTTTCGCTCTATTTTATATATTTAAAATCTACTTGATGTCAAAGTATTATTTATGTTCCACTCGTATTCATGTATGTATGTGCTTGTCGAAGAATGAGGAGGAGGAGGAGTCGTTTTTATAGGATATAATAAGTAATAGAGGATTGCCTGATTGTTATTCGATCTAAGACGTTTCGACAGCTACTATTATTATCTAACTCTATCAATGATGTCTTATCTCGTCATTGTTATGATTGCGTGTATTATTTGTCACCCTAACAGAATCAGTATACAATATTATTTAATCATAAGATTTGTCAATGTCTTTCAATTAGTATAATGATAAGTTGAGAATAGATATGAACGATTCATTGAAAATAAGAATACTTGCTTATTCTTATTCTTTATTTATTCCATTTCAATTGAACAGAAGAAGAGGAGACGACGACTAAGATAAGATAGTAGAGAGAGAGAGAAACGCGAGAAAAAACAGAAATGGAAGAGGAAGCAATAGAAGAATTGTAATCAACGTCAATCGAACAGCATACTGTTGATTCTCATAGACATATATTCTCGTTGGATACCTCTTGAGAATTTTTTTTTTAAAAATTGTAATAAAAAATAAGATGAATATATGTGAGTATTAAGTGCCATTACTTGCCTATCAATCTTCGAAAGAAGAAGTACCTAGAATCTTCTTTTATTTTAATGAATTTATGTTAGATTTTATTGTTAAAATATTTCTATTATTTCATTGAGTTGTAGATGTATTATTCACCATTTAGATTTGTTCGTGCTTGTTTAATATCTATTTGCGTGTTGAAAACAATAGAAATGCTTCAGATATATATTTTTCTTTTTCTTCTTCTTCTTCTCCTACAACGACAAAGTATTAGTATTCTAAACATAACCAAGGAGCAAAACGTTGTTCATTTTAGATATGTCAAATTTTGAGGTTTAGATATAGTGTCATAGTGTATCTTTTATTTTTTTAATTTCTATTTCAGACCATCCTACAAATTGCTAATTCCTTGTCCTTTTCATTATGTTTTTCGACATTTTGCCTGTGTTCGTTATTACACTTATTTCATCCTTGTTTTTATCTACTACATCCGTACACGGTTTACCAACATCAGCATCAAGACTTCATTTAATTACAAATTCTCCATCGGCTGATTTATTTTCTTCACTCAGGCTGTTAAATCATCGTCCAGTATCGAGTGTTGATCATGATTCAGGTGGTGATATTTTTGAAATGTTAATGGGTGATAGTAACGAAAATGATGATTCATTTTTACCTTCTGTTGATGTATTGAATGAACCATCAGAATATTATCTTCAATCATCATTATCACCAACATCAAAATTATTATTATTAGAAAAACAACATCAACAAAAACGATCAACACCATTTAATTTAAATTCTGCTGTTGCTACACTTGCTGATTCATCCAATGCAGATAATATTGTTAATTTAAATCAATTAAATGAACCATTACGTTTATCACCTTCATTAAAAAAATTAGTTGAAACAAATCCGTTTGCGCGTGCATGGCTTACAATGCTTTTACAAAAACTTATGAAAGAACAGTCTGTTCCGTATATTTTCAAGTATGGTCGACGTCGCAAATAAAATATATATCAATATCATCAAAAAAAAATAATTTTCAATAACGACACACATGCCAAGAAAGTTCTTTATCCATCATACAAATTATTTGTAATATCACCGACATCATCATCAGAATCAAGATTGTGTCTGAATGTGCCGGAGACCCAGAATAAAATTCCTTAACCTAAAACAAAATTTTTCATTTATATACAGCAATAAGAGCATATTGCAAAAAAACACACACACACACATACATATAAGATCGACATGATTTACATACGAGTTAGATATTGAGAAGATTATACAAATAATAGCATGTTAATTTATTTTACAATTCCATTAAAAATTTATTTGTTTTTAATAATAGTTGGCATATATATTCTTTTATAGTAGGCACTATTGTATTAAGAATAAGAAGAAACCAAGGTTAAATACCTTGGTCATTATATTCCAGTTTTAGACGATTTAATTATTCATGATATATTAATATATTCAAACATGAGTATTAGAAATCTCAGACTGACTCAATTAATTTATTGATTGACATTTTACAAAATATTAAAATATTATTTTTAGAAAAAATCGATTATTCTCTTACCTTTACGTCAATCGGTTAAAATTTATACTGAGGGTTTATTACAACATACATATTCCATTTGATTAATGAACTGAAGTCATAGTTCTTATTTCTGATGAACAGTATTATAAACTATACAACTGATCTTATCTTTTTTGATAGAAATTAAGTTAGTATTTATATCTTTATAGGAAAAAAAGCTTTTTCAATCCTTACAATTGCAACAATATGTTTAAGTGCAGTAAATAAAAGATTAATGTCATTCCCAATGGATATCGGATAAATATATCCTTGATTTTTATTAAGAATATTTAACGAGAAAATCTACGTAGTTGAAAGATAAGCACCTTTAGTTTTATTCTAAATTTAGAAATAGAACACTTAAATATATTATTCAGTGAATTGTCTAGAATTTTTTTTGTATCAATTCATCATGATTACATCATCTATAATAGTCATTTTTATGAAAATTATGATTGTCTAAATGACGTCTGTAGTGATCAGGCTCATTCGTTATGCTCTATTCTCTTGACACTAAAGCAACGATCATTCATAATCGTACTCCTACGAGTTTCTGATGAATGAAGACCGATATATATATATTCTCGAAATCTCGTTCGTCATAAATCATAATAAAAACTATATATTTATTACACCGATATCGATTGAAATAATCAGCATAACGAAGAAAATAAAGCACGAAATAAGATATTATCTAGAATCGTATTGTATATAGATTGAAACAGTCAATACATTCAGAACTGATTTAAGATTAGATCCGACGAAATGGTAGTCGTTCACTTTTCTATAGCAATTATTATTAATTGGGATTACATTACTTCGTCACGCAAATACATTTACTAATAATAGCGTAAAAAAGTTACAACTTTATTAACGAATGTGACTAAAAGAAGAATATCAGATGTTAACGTCATCTATAAATATTCGACTACTAATGTTTTAAATTATTAAATTAAAATTTTCTCTTTAACCATTAAAAAGTTAAATCAATAAATCTGAAGATATGATATGACTTTTGTTTAATCGATCGAATATGATATTCTTCTAGAAGATCTATAATATCTTATTTCGTTCTTATCTTACAGACTGGATTAGAATGATCAAGTAAAATATATCGAAAAGAACTATCTACTTATTTATAGATTTAAAAATGAATGTGTTTCCTTTATCAAATTCAAAAATGTTTGATAAATTATTAGGTATATCATATTTTCAATAAAGAAAGATACAAATATGTATATATTTAATAGATAAGGCAACAAGTCCTCTTTTAATTGCAACAGATTGGCAATCAATTCTTCAACTATGTGATATGATAAAAACACAAGAAGTCTCGTAAGAATCTAGCATATCAATTTTTTTTAAAAAAATAAAGAAATCGTTAAGATATCAAATGATATAAATATAATTATAAGAGACAGGGCAATTGTGACAAAGATTATTCTTACGAGACATGGAATCAGTATAAGAAGATAAAAACAAGATATTAGGAATACATACTTGAAGTATTGAAATCATATTAGTATATGTATCCATTATTTTTATCTTAGACCTAAACATGTCATTCAAGTCATGAAGAAAAAATTTCGTCATGAAAATGCACATATTATTCTCAAATCACTTCAAGTAAATGATTTATTTTTTAAATTGAACAATTTCGATATAGACTATTTGTATAGTGTTTGGAATCTATTGTTAAGAATTGTGGTGGATTAGTTCATAAAGAAATTGCACAGAAAGATGTTATGGAATTATTTCAAGAATTAATAAAGGTAATAGAAATAAAATATCTAGATAATTATTCCTTTGTTCTTCTTTACTTAGAAGTCTCCAGATCAAATTCGTAATAAAGTACTTGAAATGATTCAATGTTGGTCTTATGGTCTCGGTATATTCAATTAAATATTTAAAATTATATCTAAAAAATATATATATTCATTTTAGGTGAACAATATAAAATTTTAACAGATACATATGATTTACTCAAACGTGACAATTATTCTTTTCCACCATTGAAAGAAAGCGAAGCTATGTTTGAAAATAAGAATATAGCACCGGAATGGCATGATAGTAAAGAATGTTTTCGTTGTCGACAAATATTTACTCCATTTATACGTAAAGTAAATATAGTAAACAATCATAAAATTGAATCATTTTAAATTTTCTTTTATTCATAGCATCATTGTCGATCATGTGGAAATGCTTTTTGTGATAAGTGTAAAACGAATCAATTCGTAAAAGAATGAATTAATAAGATATATTTTAATTTAGGTTCATCCAAATCTTGTCCTATTCCAAAATTTGACATCAATTATGATGTACGAGTTTGTGAATTATGTTATGAAAAATTAACAACTGGGTAAATAATAATAATTATTATAGGATAATCGTAATGTACACATTTGTTATAAACTTTGAAGACATATTGTTCAGATACAAGGCTGATTCTATATAAAACATGGGGAAACTTTGTTCCCTTGATATTACGATTTTCGATCATTACGTAATAAACTATATGTTATCCTTTCAATATTATCTCGAAAACAAATTCATGCGAAAGCTAGTTTCTATGTAATACCGCATTCTGTGAATCAATATCTCACTAGGAATTTAGAAGATTATCGCGAATTTTTTTTCATAGAGTTCTTTATTCTTATTATTATATTTCGTATTTATTTTAACAATTAGAATATCACAAATCTCCAAACCTATCTCATCGTCGAAACCAATATCAACAATTACTTCTAATCAAGTAATAATTTTATCAGACATAAAGTAAATTAATTTCATATTTTAGACAAAAATTCAAGTTAAAATGAATGACGAAGACGAAGAATCTTTTCAGCGTGCATTAGATATATCACGACGTGAAGCTGAAGAAAAAGAAAATCAAAAGAAAATCTTAACTCAAAAATATGCTCTAGCAACAGTATTCTTATCAATTATTTTCTTTCATTGATTATATCTTGTATCTTTTTAAAGAATCAAGATGAATATACAAAATTAAATCAAACTATTGATCAAACAACACACGAAGAAAAAGAAAATATTCAAAATGAAGTTAAGGAAACTACGTTACAAACAAATAATTTTATAAACGAACAAGAAATCGATGAATTTACATCTGTTGTTATTGATCATATAAATAATTTTAAATTTCGAATGTTAAGTAATCAACAACGAAATCGTAATATAACAACTGATACAGTTGTACAATCTATTTTTGTTATGTTACAACAAGCATATCCTCATCTACTTCATACTATCCAGTTAATAGATCACACAAGAAGTAATTTAAAAAATTAAATAATTATTTTAAAATAAAAACGAATATTTTATTTAGCTTACTATGAAAATTTACAAGATAAACTAACTCAATTGAAAGATGCTCGAGAAGCATTGAATGCTTTACGAATGGAGCATTATGAAAGAAAACAACAGGAAATATTCGAACGTGAACGGCAACGACAAATACAATTAGCACAAAAACTTGATTTTATGAAACAAAAGAAACAAGTTAGTAGACTATTATTCTGAAATATCAATAAAACTGAAGAGCCAGATACAAAATAAAATTGAATTTATCGAACTATTAAGATACAATCAAAAGAAGACTTTTATTTCATGAAATATGCTAAATATACCGTTTAATAACAATAAAAATCATACTTATGCTCTTTTTTGTTTTCATATTCTAATTTATTAAAGATTCCATAGAAATTCATTTCTTCTATAATTATCTAGGAATATCTTGAATATCAACGACAAGTACATCTTCAACAATTAGCTCAACAAGAATTTGAAATGAGAACTTATTCTGATCAACAACGACAATTAATATTAACACAGGAACAATGTTTACAAAATTCTCATTTAGTAATATAAATAATCTCTCTACAAAATTTATATGATTTCTTTTAGTCATCTATGATGTCACATGATTACAGCCAAATGCCTTATCAACAACCATTTAATACTTTACATTCACAATCAACAATGAATCAATATCCAATTATAACAAATTATCCAACACAACCACCTCATCATGGTTCTATGATAACGTGTCCATCAAATACACCAAATCTGATGGATAGTAATAGAGGTAATTTGATTAATATTTATTCTAGTAAAACATGTGCCATAGGAAACACATTCTGTTAGTCTATTAAATCAGCCAATAAAATAAAAAGTTCACTTTATCCATTCATTCATTACGTATTATCAGCCTGACTCATTATTTCTATTTATCTAGATAATAATTACATTAATCTTGCCAGACATATACCATTGACTCATTCTACTGTATCATATATTCAACAACAATCAGCTCCAATGATCAATGAAAACAAATCTGATCCACAATTGATTATTTTTAACTGAACATTTATTTTTCTTTAAAAACAAATGAATAAAAATCTCTCAAGTCTTTATTTGTATTTCTTTTTCTTATAGTCTATTGTAATATTAATCTTTGTACTCAATTTTTATTCGTTCTATGACAAATGTTTCATAAAAATAAATATCTTTTTTTTTCCTACGAAAATAAATAATAATGACTAAGGACGAATCATATAGAAACATAATTTACTTATGAATAAGTAGTGACGATGATAATAACGACTAACAAAGGTAGTGTACATCGACATTCGAAGAACGAATAACATAGGGGGTAAAGGAATGTATGCGTAGGATGTTGTCTGAACGGCGACCGTTTTTTCTTTCTACTTTTTCTCTTTCTTTCTTCTAACAGCGGACATATGCCCATGTATATATATATACGTGCATCACATTCAGATAGCCAGTAAATCAACAGCATAAATTCTTCGTCTCCAATTACTATCTCACATACAAATACAACATCTGTAATATCTTTTGCTTTTGTTAGTATCACTTATCTACTTGATTTTTAACAATGAATGCTCTTATTATACGTAAACAAAAATATCGTTCACCACCAGCTCAACCATTAGATAGACATTTATCGGAAATTGCTGAATCTGATGGATCAATTTATATCAATGCAGGAATTGATTCAACTTGGTTAGTAGAATTTTAAATATCTATTTAAAATTTGATTTTATTATATCCCTTTTTTTCTAGTTGTAAAAAACGTAGTCGAACAATACATAAATTAACGAATGGTATTGTTGTGTCAACAGATGTATCACCAACGAAAACAAGAAGTTCAAATGGTCATAATGATGATATATTACCTATAATGTTAAATAGTAGTACTCATGATGATCGATGCGATTCAATTAATAATGGTGGTGGTTGTATACATTGTGCATATTGTGGTAAATGACAATGAAGATAATTAGCTTTGCTTTGTTATTCAATTTAAAATGAATTTCATTTTTTTCTTTCTTTTTTGTTGGTTTTGTTTTCTTGTTGTATAGCAAGTTTTTGTTCTCTTATGTTCTTTTCTATTGTGCATGCACAATAATGCATGATTATGAAACACAGTGAAAATGAACGACACGTAGATTGTATTGAAGAATTGTTTATTTTTGATCAGTATGACTGATTAAAAAATATTTTCTTTTTTTGTATTTTTGTTTATTCAATTATTAAATATAAAGTAAAACATTCTGATTATTAATACAAATGATGGAAAACGTATTTTGTTTAATAGATTATTATTAAAAGTTTTCTCGTTTTTATTTAATTAATCGAAAATTATCTATTCTAATTCATAGCATTAATTTAGTATATATATATTCAACATGTTTAGAGTGCATAACGATTATATTTTCTTTGATAGTGTTGTTCAGAATAATATTACTATAATTCATTTAACAAAAGAATAAACAAATAGTATTTCTAATAGATATTATTAACTGGAAAAAACCATATTTATTGTTTTTTATTTCTAAAGAATATTGTTTTGTGAAATTACATTTCCTTTGTTCAATGAATAAAAATCATAATTAATTAATTTTTTGAAAATTAGATGTCGCATTTTATTTATTTAAAATTGAATACAATTTTATAAAAATAAATCGTGAAATTATCCAATTTAAATTTAAATCTTTTCTATTTTCTAAGAGTCTACATATGTTTATTTTCTATACGTTTATAATCAACCAATGAAATTATTGTCAATTGTTTGTTTATTTTTTTGTCTGAATATAAAAGCTGATTAAAGATATATTATTTATTTTATTTATTCGATTCTAAATTGTTAGTATACTATCTTATCTGATGATGAGTACTACTACCAATGAGCAGATATCAAATGAAGAATATTCATCTTCACGCGATGAACAACAATCACAACGGTATCCATCAGTAAATTCTTCATCGCGTCATTCAACACCAAATTCATCTGGCGGAGAAAAACAATTTCATTTTGGAAGCAATTATAATACTGAACGGTATTTCGTAGAATTTAATTTATTTTTTTATTAAATGAAATTTTTTATTATAGAGGATCGGGACAAAATTCTCGAACAAGTTCAGTTGCTGAATCAATGACAACTAATACAGAAGGTTTTTCCAACTATACAGAAATTATTCAACATTTACAAACAGGTTAGTAAAAAAATCATGGATAAAATTAGAGTTCCGAAAAATGAACCCTGGATGTGTCGAGGCCAGAATTATATCGAACTGTATATCTCTTCATTATTCTTTTTCATCTTATCAAAATTCTATCTCAGTATCATATGAGAACATCTTGATATTTTTTATTTATACTCGGATAGATCGATATCTGATCCGTTATTATCATTGTTTTTGTTTCTCATAAACACTTACAAATCTTACATTTATTCTTTTTTAGTTTGGAATAATCATAACAATGCAAATGAAGGTGCTCGTCGTACAAATAATAATACAGGAACAGCATCAAATAATGATGCTAACAATAATGAAACAGTTCCACCACATTATTCAAAAGATCATATGCAGACAACATCGTCGTCACAACAACAGCAACAACAACATTATGCTCATCATCAATCTGGTCAACAACATAATAATCAATATTCAGGACCACAATATCGTACAAATTATAATAATTCTCGTCGATCTGGTGGTAATGGAAATTATTCACGCGGTTATGGTGGTGGAAATAATGACGGCTATTGGAATCAAAAACCAAATAGATTTGCATCACATCGTACAATGAACAGTCTTATGACAAATTCAACTAATTATCAACAAAATCAACAACAACCGCAGCAGCAGCAACAATCCCAACCATCACCACCTACACAACGACGACAAAATGATATGCAACAACAACAACAACAACAACAAGCACCACCACCACAACAACAGCAGCAATATCATCATAATGAACAGCAATCTTCACAACCGTATTATAAAAGTGAGCTTTGACATTTGCTTTATTTTTAATGTTGAAATACATCTATCAATTTACGTATATAAATAAATGTATTAATATTAAATAATTGAAATTACTTTTGAGATTATACTTGTAAAAGAATATACAGATCGATAATATTGCATATTTCATAAGTTAAGTCACGTTCGAGTTGCGAAGAGTCGGCATTATTCCATCAACATACTCTATGATATATTGGTTATGAAACAGTTCATTTGATATGGTAGGTATATAATATTCAGCGTAGTCATCAGAACTAAATAATGCTAGCTTAAGAGTATTATGTTCTCCACAAAGATTTCGAATTTAGATCAACTGAGGTAAAGGACAGACAACTCAGAAAATCTGATAACTAACAAATCTAATGACGTAATGTAAACGATAGCTGAACTTTGAAACTATGTGAGATTAATATTTTATTTCGAAAATCTTTACATATTGTTAATATGTCTATTATTCTCTAAAAGAAAATCGTCCTGATCATGATCGTCGTCCAAATGGTTATAATTCTCAACAGCAACAATCATCTGATTATTCATTAAATAGTCATCATCAAACAAGTAACAGTGTTCAAAATCTCACATCATCAGAACAATCGAATATAACTACTACACAATCATTTCCAAGCAATTTAAATTCATATAACAGATAGTTTTGTTTGCGGAATGTATTCTTTTATTTTTATGTAATTATTTGTCAAATATAAAAACTTTTTATTTCTCAAAACTAACCATTATCATACTATCAGAGGTTAAAAACTCTCTAAACAATATCTCCGGTAGTTATGTAGTATTCCTCTCTTCTTCTTTATTTATATATATATATACATATACAAAGAAAAAAAAACTTTTCGTTTTTTCTTCTTTGACTGACCGTTCTTCTGTTGTTGTGTGTTTTACTTTTTTTTTATTTGAAAGAACATTGTCTTTTGTCTCGTTCGTTAGTGTTTTTTTTTCTCTCTCTCTTTGTAATGTTTATGTTATTGACGTCATTTTGTTCGCCGTTTTCTTTTTGGTTTTTTTTAATGATGAAATATTCAAAACGAAGAACAACTTAAAATTTATATATATATATTCTTTAGATATAAAAAAAAATCTTCTTTGGTATTATCGTTATGGATATTAAGATTAAGTCGAGTTGCTCAATCTACAGATTGGCATATTTTTACAATAAATGCTAATCTTCTTTTAGATTTTTTTGTTCTTGTATCAGATTACACATGCGATAGATTTTCCAATCTATGAATTTTTTCCTCTGATTATCGCACTGTATGTTGTTTATATAGTACTGTATAAGAAGAGAACATAATAATAAACAACATCCTTGAGATTGAGATTTCACAAATAATATTAAGCGAAAGTTGAAATGATACTATTTGACTATATGTTATACTAAAGGCATACTGTCGACTAGAATATATCGAATGAGTTTATATTCGATTTAGTTATATTAAATTAGATGCTATTGTTTAGATTGTCTGAAGATAATAGAATTTCTTTCGTAATGTTTTGTTACATATAACACAATCAAATTGACACTAAAGCTAGGGTGTGGGTGTGGGTGGTATAAATACGAAACACCCACAACTACACCGCTCTGACGTCATTCTCCTCACTTGACGAAGACTTTTTGTCTATCAAAAAATTCTTTGACAGAACATGTCTAACTTTGTTTATCTCATCTTCATCACTAAGTCTATTTAGTATAAGAGCATGTCGTTTAGGATTTCTTGCCATTGACATTATCGAAAATAAAGAAAATTGAAGAACAGTTAAAGACTTTAAAATCTTATAAATCACTGCTTCACTGAATTCATGTATATATATATATATATATATGTCCTAGAAAGTGTTTTTCTTTCTGGTTATTTTCTATAACTATTCTTTATTTGCATTACCAAACCGTTGTCTTGTAGATCATGGTCGCCAAATTAGTTGAGTTATGTGCATATACAGTTATTAATCATTTTAATACAATTAGTGAAACACAGTCATCAACATTAATTGCACTACCGGTTGATCTAAAAGCACGTCTATTTACTTTACTTTCTCATCGTGGCCTTATAACAGATGATAATTTACCACTTTTACTTAATTGTCGTACACGTACATTCGATTTTCGAGATTGTACAAATATAACAGATACATCATTGATATTAATGGCACATTGTTCATTAAATGCTCAAATCGAACGAAAACGTCTTGAATCAAATCAAACTGAAACAACAACACATATAATAACGTCTGTATTGAATCCGTCTATTATTTATCTACGTGGAATAAATATAACTGATTATGGTTTAATAGAATTTGTTCAACAATATCCATCATTACGAAAAATTCGTGTTCAAAATTGTTCACAATTAACTGATGAAAGTATTTGTGCTATAGGCAAATATTGTTCACGTTTAATGGAACTTGACTTAACTGGTTGTATAAAAATAACAGATGAAGGTATAAATAGTCTTCGTCAATTACCATATCTTCGTTCATTAGGCTTATCTCAAACACAAATAAGTGATAATTCATTAATTTCTATTGGACAATCATCATTTCATTATACATTGAATGAAATTAATTTACGAATGTGTAAAGAAATAACAGATGATGGTTTTCTTTATTTGCTCAAAAATTGTCCAAAATTAAAAAAAATTGGCTTCATTCAATGTCCAAAATTAACTGAACGATCAAGACAAATTTTAAATCCAAATACACATCAATTTTCATTTCTTCTTTCGACAATTCCTGTTTCATAAAATATAAATATATAAATATATAAATATAAATATAAATATTTATTCCGGTGTTGTATATCCTTTTATCTATTATAAAAATAAAAATTGAACTTAAAATTATTTTAAATAATATACATTTTGTTCTTTATTTTATTTGTTTTCATTAATATTAAATATATTTATAACAATTCAGTTACAAGAAATCATCCTTTGACAAGGATACATATCCAAAAAACAACGTATATGAATTTTGAATACAAATTAAGAACTGTTTTGATAGTGATGAATTCTATCAGATGTAATCGTGTAATCATATTGTTAGCTAATGTAACAGACATACATCTGAGAGAGAATTGATAATTATTTCAAATCAGATTACGATATATCTACAACTATGAACTTGAATCTACTTGAAGAGATTTATTTTGGAAATTTCACACATTTTGAGGGTGTGGTTGTAAGATCAATCTAATACCCACAACTACATCCTTAGATAACTATCTTGAAGAAGATTTTTATTGCTTTGGTTTTCCACGAGGAAATAATGAACAATATAGCATTCTTTTTGATCAAAAACAATAATATGAACTTAAAAATATGTATGTAATACTTTGAAGCAATCCAAAAATACGATTAAAACACTTGAACTTTGAGAGGGTGGGTTTATGCTGCTGGCATTATTAATCTAAGTATGTCATCTATGGATATTGTTGAATATAGATGCTGGTGGGTGTGATAAAGAAAGAGAATATGTAATCATCTAGCTAAACCTACACTCACAATCTGACGAACGTTAACAGAAAAGAAACAGTTTTTGATAAAATTTCAAAACGAAAATATTTTGGCAGTATTATACATGTTTGAAAAATAAAAGATAGATAAAGAGAATAATTTTCATAAAGTTGGAAAGAAATTTGTCTCCTGAGTTATTTGTCAACAATTCATTACTTTTCTCCTCATTTCTATATTTATCATAAGACGATATTTTGAAAGTGAATGTTGACTGTCTGATAAAACTATTATTATAACTACATATCTATGAAGATAACTTGTTAGTTTTTTATCTGCTATATATATAAGACAGGTAAACAAACGAATTTAAATGTCTTTTTTTCCAGTTGTAATAAAATACAAAGCACATATATTTGGTTGTATTTATATTTTGTTATTGTCATTAACCACGCCTGTCAAAGTAATTGACTATTATCAGTGCTTATATCACAATATTTTTTGTTAACATTCTTAGGTTCGTTGGGAGACATTTTTGAGGGGATAGTTGTCTAGGTCACGGATAAGCGAAGAGGCATCCACACTCAGATCCATGCGTGATACTCACATCCACACACCCTATGAAGATCCATTAGAATCCATAGCATCATCCCTAGGATTCATGATCCCCTTTTCACCTCTTGGATCTTGATGTGAATGTGGATGCGTGTTTGATAATCATTTATATCCATCCCTACGTTCACACTCTAACTTCATTAAAGTCATCTATACTTCCTCTAATTATGGATGAATTGCTTTGTCGATCAAAGACATAGGATTTATCATACCCACACTCACACTCACTCTCACAAGAGACTAAATAAAACAACAACAAAACAGAAAAAACGTCGCAGAGCAAATAACATTAGCGAAGATTATTTTTAAACATTCGTGACTGAAAGATAACGTTTTTCTGTCTTTTCTCTCACTTATATCGTGCATAATCTTGCTTACATGTCTTACACACCATTCTTCACTAAAACAAAGTCATGTTTCGTCGCCGATACACCTCTTACGAACGACTGAATGAGGATCATGAATCACATATTAATTTAACTCACGTTTACGACGATATTTACGTTGAATTGGAAAAGAGAAACCATTCTGATAAACAGCGTACCCTTCTTTTGAGATTTGGATAGTTTTTTGAAATTTCATAAAAATAATAGAATACGATGAACTTGTTGTTTCATGACTAACTATTATGTAAGTAACGAAGAAGTTCATTTTTTCGATATTTTTTAATATTTAGCCTGATATGGGCGGACAGATTTTTCCATATCTGTTCATGTGAAAACGCTGAAGGAAGGAAAAATCCTGAACTTTGGTAAAGTCGCTGCTTCTCGAAATGTGTGGAATTTGACTTCTTCCAAAATCCAACTGAATAAACGTCATCTTTTTAAGTTTTTATTAGATCTGTTTCTAAGGACAATAGTTCGAAACCAAAAAGACGACAGCATTACTGATATTCCACCGTATTCATACAACCCTGGTCTTGTTCTAGCGAAATCTTCATTTTACTCTTAAAATAGAATATTTTAGTAAAATTTTCAAAATGGAAGTTTCATTGGTCTAGGAAAGTCTGCAAAGCGAGGGTAAAGAATTTGATTCCTAGAAAGCTTATGAAGTTAAAAAAGTTCTGTTACTTTCCCAGACAATGATTCAACAATTTGTGCAATTTTTCGAAACGTGAAATTTGGTCAGCTTTTATTCATTTATCTTTGATTAGATTTAGTAGCTTGTCTAAGTGAAGATGACGTGCAATCCGTAGAGTTGGGTGTGGGTATAGAAGAAATCCACACCTACCCCCACTCACCACCATCTTTACCCACACCCTTCTAAAATTTTCATCGATTATTTTAGATTTTATTCAATATATATTTAATTCTTTTATATAAATATAAAGAACATAACAGTGTAATGAATCGCTACAGTGATATTGATTGTTCATCTGAAACATTGACACCTGTTTATGGTTTTCTTAGTGAAGAACTTGTTTCAATTGAAGAAGCATTAGAACCAATAGAATCTCAAATTGCTAATTTATCAGCTTATATTAAAATAGCAAAAAAATATTGTCATTATCCATCAGAACATGGTTTAACACATGATGAATCAGCGTCAATTTATATTTATACAATGGAGTGGGGTGAACAAACTTTATATCGTGTTTTAAATAAAACTTTAAGAAATGAAAATAGACATTTATTAAAAGTATGGTTTCCTTATTTGAAATTATTTAATACAGCATTAAATAAATTACCAACTGTGAAAGAAAATGTATGGCGTGGTATTACTACAGATATTGGAAAAAATTTTCATGAAAATGACACGATAACATGGTGGAGTATTAGTTCATGTTCATCAAAAGTCAATGTTATTAAAAACTTTCTTGGAAATAAAAAAAATTCTACAATGTTTCTAATTGAAGTATTGAATGGTAAAAAAGTATCTGGCTATGCACAATTTGCAAATGAAGATGAAATCATTTTAAGAACGGGAACGGAATTTCGTGTAAAAAGTAATGCATTAGATCATCCAAATGGAGCATATCTTGTTCATTTAATTGAAATCGATGAAGGCAGTAACGATAATAATCATATATCAACATTGGCATCATCAATCGATCAAATGCAATTAACAACAAATCAGATGAATTCAGGTAAGTTTATTTCATTTTAGTTTTCCTTTTAAAAGTGAAAGCATCTCTTTCAATTCCGAAAATGAATCTTTTCTCTTCGTCCATTTTCATCAAAAAACATTAGAAGAAGACCAATAAAATTTATCAAAAATATTTAATTTTTGTTTTATGATAAAATTTTTCTATCGATTTGATTTGATTCGATATTTTAATTGTAAAAGCTTTCGAATCAATTAGAAGTTCATCTATACTTATGGTAAAAAATAATCAGAATCTATATTTTTGTATTGTCTATTCTATTCACCGATTAATTATCGATCTTTAAATAATCTCTTAATATTTATAATGATTTATATACGAATATCTGTGCAGTTCCTATGAAAAGTGTGAGTATAGTCATAATACTATTTTTCTTCTCACATTTTCATCCATCTATGACAAACTTGTTGAATATTTTGCCCAGTTTTTGTTAAATATAAATAACATCGTTTTTCCATCCGATTTAAATTACTTTATTTTGCTCAGATTTTTGTTACTTTTCAAGTGAAGATGAAAATGAAAATCGAGAGACATTGAACTCAATTTCATTTTTGTTACAGGATGATTCTCTTGAGAGGATGGGTGTGGGTGTAGCTATGGATACTGTATTCACCTAGCACCCACATCCAACTACCCTGTTTACAGCTTTCTTATCCGAAAAAGTTTTGAAATCCAGCGATGTCTTTTATTTTAAAATTATTTTCAATCCAGTAACTTTATTTCTTAGAAAATCAAGAATTTGCTGCACCCGGTGAGTGCAAAGAGCTTGATTGTAAGGGTCGTATTTGTGCCAAATGCGGTAAGTGTCGTGATTGGTACTATACTGGCAACTCAGTGACTTTTAATTGGATCCGTCGTTGGAAAACTTGGACCGACAGTGAGTGGGCTGATTGGTACAATGGTTCTTTTTATCAGCTTTTCGAAAAGCGTACTGATGGTGCGACATGTCGTCGGGGTGGCGGTACTGCTTATCTTATTCGCTTTGGTACTTATTTTACTAGTTTTTTTGGTCCAAGTTTTCGCGATAATTTTCTTGCTTATGCTGCTCCTTGCTTATGTTTGGATAATATTCGTAATTGAGTTTACTTTAATAAAACAAAGAATGACGTTTTTGACGAAATATTTTGTTAAGAAAGGAGGAAGGTGCGAGTGAGTATGTGCAGATATTGCTTTATAGATGACTCGTTAATGTCATAATACTCACAAGCAAGCAACTACACCCTCTGCTTTGGATCAGGTTTCATTATGCTCTTCATACATTACAGTGTTCGCTACATCGAAATTTAGATGAAAATGAGACGAACTTCTGATAGAATAGAGACTATCATAGCGTCGCATGCACGAAGAATATACCAGGCAATATTTCAAAGCATTTACAGTGGTCGTGGGTATACCAGAAATAACACCCACATCCTCAAGATGGTTTGTAGCTCGAATTGTTTCGACTTCAGTCGAAAAAGGATTTCTCGTTGAAGCTAAACGGTTTCTCTCGGCTGCAGGACATGATCTATCTCTCATTGTGATAGGATTTATTTAATTATTTGATACGTGTTTTGAAATAATTAATAAAATTAAACTAGAAAGATCAACTTATAACTATACTTGTCGAGATATTTTACTCTATATTTTAACATTTAAAAACGTCAAATTTTCTATAACTTGTCTGTCTGATAGAAGTCGAGTAACTAATCAAATCGCGTACAGACTTAGTATAATTTTGCTAATAGTAGGTTACATACTGCTAACATCACCAAAAGAAAATAAATTTTTTAATTACAATGTCATTTATTTTATAAATAAATCTATTATAGTTTTTTTTAGCGATTCATATTTGCACGATTATCTTCAGGTTTCTTTTCAATTGTTGATGCTTTAAACCATGCGCATTGTGGTACAAGATTTAATGTCTATCTAAAAACAATAAAAATTATTTTCAAAAAATTTGTCTTTCATATGAACTATTTCTTGTTACTGTTACTGGATTTTGTTTATCATCCGTTTGATATTGTCGTACTGGGTTAGCATTAAAACATCTCTCATTTTGTTCCTCATTTATTCTATTTGATTGTTGTTTTATACCATTATCACGATTGCCATACGGTACAGTATATTGTTGTGAATTATTACCACTACCTCCATTATTTTGATATTGGTCTTGATGTTGTAGACCATTACGTTCTTGATTATGAATTTCATCAATTGTCATTGGTTTTACTTCAGGAATACGAGCAACCCAATTAGCTTTTCTTAAATCCATCAGATCTTGAATCATAAATCGTGTACGTGCTGATATTTGTGGTTGTGTAACAATATTTTCTAATTCACTGTAATTGTTTTCCAATTTTTTTCGATTTTGTGTCTAAGAAAAAGAAGTATTTAAAAAAACCGTATTATTATATAACAAATAGGACAACAAATGTGTTATAAAGAATGAGCAAGTTTAAGAAAACAGACATGCATATCTATAATTTTTAATACTTATTTTCTTATAGTAGACATAAGCAAAGAAAGAAAAAAGAAAAATCAGTTTGAAGCTGATTATTTAATTTAAAAACAAATTTAATAAGAGATACGTATATCCTTTAGTTTGTTTTTTATTTCAATCAAACATACCTTATCGGTGACTTTGTTATCAAGTTCTTTGCCAATAGCACGTAAAAGTTTACATAAACATTCAAGATTTTCTTCATCAGGTTTGCCTTGGAGAAAATAGTCCATACAGTCAAACATAATTGGTTCTGTCAACATTCCTAATTTGAATAATTCACCAATAAAACTAAATAAAAAATATGAATAAAGTTTATATACTTTTCTCTAAAACGATGATTCGCTATATTAAACTAAACAGTAATTGAACATATCTGACTATCCAAACAATCTCAAATAACTTTTACATTTATGAATTTCATATATCTTCTTTCTTTTTAAGATTTAACTTACAGAATATTTCCAAAATGTCGTCGTTTGGCTTTAAATAAAGCTTCTTCTAAATTTTCTGCTTCTTCCTTTTGATGTTTTTCATCTATAATAGCATCAACTTCTTTTCTTCGTCTATCATAATCAATATCCTGTCGATAATCAGTTTCAAATTTAGTTTGACAACGTGCTAGTAATACTTGTCGAAAATAATATGTTACTGTTTGACCATCTTGACTAGATACGGTAACGTGTTTTTTTTGAAAATGTTTACATAAACTAGCATACATGAAACAAAATTTTGGTTCTTCAACTGCTTTAAAGAAAAATATATCTATCATTCCTTGCAAACGTTCATAACCATCAAGTTCAAGTTTATCAAGTTTTTGTAATAATTTATCATAAGTTTGCGGTGTTAATTTATTTAATATTAATCTAATTTCACGTATAAATGTGTTATATGGATCAAGTGATTTTACAATGTAAATATCAGAAAATTTTTCAAGGCCAGTTGGTACTTCTTGTGCCGAAGGTTCTGATCGTTTATCACGAAGTTCTTCGATACTATACTTATGTCGTTTATCTTCAATTGTCATATTTTTTATTTTATTAAAATTGAGTGTCTTTTTCAAAGGAAAACATAGACTTTTAAAGTTCTCTTATCGCTATTTACAATTAGCTGGGTATTTTTTTTTCTCGTCCACATTCTTACGCAATAAAGTTGTTTATTGCGTATTAAACTGACGACTACAAAGACTTTCACAAACAGAATGAAAGAAAACTTTATATGATTCATAAAAACAACATGCTACGGCATTAGATGAATTGGGTAAAAACTCAAGATAACAGATAGTTATTATTCAAATTGAGCGAATGAGAAGGAGTGGGTGTGGTATGAGTACTATAGTTGTAAGCAAAGTTGAATGAAGTATTTATTATATCGATGTTGAAAGAGTAGCAAACAAAGTGAACAGTCCAAGTTGGTAAGAACTCTTTGCTTTCTTTTCAACTGATAATAATATTATTCATCTTGAAAGAGTTTTTTCTCTGTTTGTAAGAAATAAGAAAAAACCTTCATATATATATCCGCGATAATGTTTCATTATAGAAAGAAACTTAGAAATCTCCGTTCGCTCTTTCTGTTTTTCGATAACAAACAGAGTCTTTCTTTAGCCAAGAAACTTGACCCTCACCCTCATCCATTCTTAGAAGATTAATATTATATTTACTCTAAATAAACGTTAGGATTTATCTCTACTTCTTCATGACATAATGAATATCTCGATATCAAATCTGGCTTTTCATTAATGACTAAATTAGTTCGCTTTTCAGTTATCTCACATAATACATTCGATTATAAAACGCACATTCCTTTTTATTAACATATAAACTTAAATAATCAGAGAGATGTTATACAAAATAAATATGAATCAAGAAAAAATCAACATATTAACTGGCTTTTATGAAGTTTTACTGTAAACGATAATAATCAGTACTAAGTCTTGTATATTAGCATGTTGTTAAATTAAAAAGTTGTATTCGATTGTTTCCTCTATCGACAACCAACAGGTTACCATATTTATCAAAGAGGAATGTTTCAGGAGTACTGAGTTCATTTGATGCTGTTCCTGATGTACCACCAACGACTGTAGTGCCACTACTTGCATTTGGCAGCCAACGTTGAATACGATTGTTACCTGAATATGAAGAAAAGTAAAACGAGATATTTTTTTAACCTGTGGAATATGTTTTTCTCAAAGATGCTCTTACCCCAATCAGATATGTAGAGACTTCCACTACTATCTACCAGTATAGATCTTGGATTATTGAATTGATTCGCTCCACTTCCAGATCCATTACCTCCAGCGACAACTGTTCCAGTAGTTGCACTTGTTGAACCTGATGGGTATTTCATTATACGATTATTATTATTATCGGTAACGTACAAAGAGTTTGTATATAAATAGTCATAGTAAACACCATTTGGTAGTGAAAGTTGATTTGAGGCATTTCCATTTCCATTGCCACCTATATATGATAATAAAACCAGTATTAAAAGAAAGATTTTTTTAAAAGAACACTATCTACCTGCTGCAACCACTGGTGATCCACTACCTCCAACGAACTTATATACCGCATTATCAGTATAGCCAACTACATATATATCATTAGTCAATTGATTTATGGATAGTAGTTCTGCTGAAGTTACAGAGCCAATAACTGTTCCAGATGTCGCCGAAGTTGAACCTGATGGAAATCTAATGACTCGAGAGCATCCTGCATCTGCAACATACAATTGACCAGAACTATCAGGAGCTACTCCAACAGCAGCCGACAATTGATTCAGATTGCAACCCACGCCATTACCTCCAGCAATTATTGTGGCAACTGAAGGCGAATTATTGATAGAAATTTGTAGAATACGTTGATTTGTATTATCCGCAACGGTTAGCATATTGTTAGGACCGTCATAATACATTCCAATTGGAATATTAAGAAGTGAAAGGCTAGAACCAGATGTACCTGCTTGACTTCCAAATATAGTAGTCGCAGTTTGTGACCAAGATGATTGAGAAGATATGGAGCACACTATAAAAAGAAAGAAGAAAACAACTAGTTTACTCTTCAATACTTATAGATCAATTATATAAGTGATATTTGAAAATGGGTAGAAGTAGTTCTTAGATATAGTATAGTAATGTCTATTGTATTTATCTTCTAAGAAAATATGATACACCTCTATCCATGTGTCGAATAAAATCGACAGGTATTCGGGTAGAAGCTGAGTTTTACAGAAATGATGCACTTAAAGATATAATAAATTACTTTACTGTAGTCTGTAAATTGTACTAACCGCATACACTCTTTCTAATAGTCTGTAAAGTTTTAAATAACTCACGTGTTGTAGTTGTTGTCGTTGTTGTTGTCGTTGTCGTTGTTGTTGTTGTCGTTGTTGTTGTTGTTGTCGTTGTCGTTGTAGTTGTTGTTGTTGTAGTTGTTGTTGTCGTCGTTGTCGAAGTTGTTGTTGTTGTGCTTGTTGTAGTTGTTGAAGTTGT